CACACGTAGAGCCGATGAGTGAAACGGCGAGGCAGTTTTTTTCAGCAAGAAAAGAAATGGCTTCGACAAAACCTCCTCCGCGGTCACAACTATGAGCTGATATTTGCTGTACTCTATATTTTCCAAATGACCCTTGATCGCCCCCTTGGTAAAATTTTCTTTCTCTCTCCAGCCCTCCACTGCCATAATTTTCGTTAAGAAAATACCGAGCACACGCTCGCCAAAATTACGCCTGCTCTGCACTTTGCTGTGATGTAACAAGTGGTAGACTTTTTGTCGGTTAATTTTTAATCATCAATGACTTCGCTTTGTTTTACATCACTTTGTGATTGATTAAACGAAAACTCACACCAACTTCTCGACTAACTAAATTTCGTTATTTCGATGAATTCAAACCACTGACCGTGACACACCATATTCATTTCAGCTTTACCTTTTTCATACTAGACCCGAAAATAGCAATTTATCAATGCCAATCGATCGAAAGCAAAATCTACAGCTGCAAAGTTAGTGCTGATTCCTCTTTTCAAGAACCAGTAAAGAAAAAAAAGATTCAAGCCATAACGAGATTACCAAGCGAATGGTAAAGTTTCCACATGATTATATTTGGCTGCACAACAAAATTCTGGTCAGCGAATCGCAGCATAATTTCCTTTTATGATTTCCACTCTCCCCAGAGTTAATCAGTAATGTGATATAAATATTTTGTGAACATTTTCAGTGAATTTTATTTTCTAAAAAAGATTAATTATTCTCATCGTTATCAATACCGTTGTCACTTTCAAGGCTTTCAAGAAAAGGTATATGACAATATTATTTATGAAAATAACGAGCTGTAAAATTCTATGAAAAAATTCTTAATTCGTGACAAGTATGCTTGACCTCACCAACAATTAACAGTTTTATAATTTTCGATATCTCAATGCTACATTATCTCTACTTTTTCGATCTGGTTTCATCAACCAAACTTTATCGCGGACAACCTTGTCTTTATTTCGGACCCATTCAAAATACAATGCTGACCTATTAGCCACAAAGACTCTTCCATATCCGAAGTCATTCTCATGAAAACGTGACCATTTCACATCCCAATAGCCTTGTAAATTCAACCAAAACCCAGCAGACCCAACCACCACGTGTGTTGTGCCAATTCCATCCTCCTGACATTGATGCTTGTAAACTGCGCATGTTCTTTCGTAGCTGTGATAGTGTCCCCAGAAGGCAAGGTCCACTTGATATTCGTGGAAGAGGTTTTCCAAATAATACTGCAAGCCTCTTGACACAATGTAGTCCCCTAGGAGAAAGGATGGTTATAAGTCAATGGAAAGCCGAACACTAATCCCGCGGAGGAAAACTCGGCGGAGCTAGAGCTTCCATGAGTCTGATGGTAGAACATTCTACAGGTGGCACAAAGCAGAGGATCATACGTTTGATTCCTAAAAGAAACCTCTGACCTCTACAAGAATGTATTGATATCATCCTTTCTTATTCATTGGACACCCTCAGGAATGGCAAGGTCGTTATCAAAATTTGGCGTCTATCTTATGAAAGTGACAGATTTTGAAAAGGATTATAGTACTGCTTTTTCCATTTCGGACCAAAGTTCATGTTCAGTGAATGAACGTGTTTCCTAAATATCTGAGAGGTGTCTTAGAAGCGTGGTATGTGCTGAATTAGTATTGGCATCTCGGGATTCTGGCAACAAAAATTTTTAATCTACATCATAAGTGCTTACTCAGCACTTTCTGACTTGTATACATTGGTCGATGTCCTCCCAGCACAATCCAAGGTGTTTTATTGCGATCAACTTTCTTCAAGTCATTTTCCAGCCAAGTGTACTGCCTTGACCCGGGTCTGATATCATGTTCGGTGCTCATCATAATGAAATGAACGCTTCCATATTCATGGCTGTACCTGTAAATAAGGACGAATCGTAATGATCAGGATCGTAAATCTCCCTATCATACAGAGAGTGCAAGTCTTGTGGAAGAATTTGACCCTTCCAACTGCAATGGCTGATGGTCAATATAATTGAACGCGAAGGGAATCAGTAAATGATGGAAAACCTTTCAAGAAAGTTTCAAGAAGATAGCTGCCGGCGGTTAAGCTAAATATGATTTACTGCAATAAACAAGTTGCCAGTTGATGTGTGCAGGGGAAGAAAAGATCATCCTCATCATCCTCATCATCCTCATCATCGTCATCATCATCATGGTTATTCATCTCGTCCTTAGTGTAAAGGTGCGCGGCGATGTGCGCCCGTACTTTTAAACTCTGAGAAAATAACAACATCTTCGAATGCTCCCGACCTGAAGGATATGTACATGGTTTGGAACAACTTCGACTGACAAGAGAAGAGATCAATAATGCGTGGTAATATGATAGAATTGGTAAAATGTAAGACTGACGACATACCACCAAAGTCCATTTCCATTGTCAGGCATATGAAATCTGTAGAACATAGGCACTCCACACTCTCCCCCTGAGTCATCCAAATAGTTTCCCCACCAAGGGTGCCAGCCATCACCCGGGGCACCACTAGGGTCCTTGGAACCTCCAAAGATATGGTCTTGTTCGTGATTTCCCACGCCCACCATGTATGGCATCAATGTAGCATAAGGCTCGATGAGATCGTGCCATAGTTCCCAGATATAGGCCTGATACACAAAGACAGGAAATTTGAAAGTTACATGGTTCTATAGGAGCTACGTCATGGTCTACTACGTCTTGAAAAATGAAACTAAAATATTTGTGGGTTCAATCCATGCTGATCACCACCATCCCACGCCAACTTTTCCCTTTTTTTTTTCTGGTTTATTCTCACTTCCTCAGTCATTGTCCATCCCGGCAAACCGTTAGTAAAGATAACTCTCTCTTCAAATGTTCTTTTCTATGATGCTAAAAATGGTCTATATATCGTGACGTAGGTATGTACAGAAACCTACGTTGCATGAGACATCATGGCACCCGTTGTTTGATGCTCTCAGTTTATTTGTCTTAGGCCTTCTATATCTTCCTTCCGTGTCCGCACAAACGTAGTATCGATAATACTACAAGTGAGTGCGGCCGCATGGAATTAGGGGTAAAAAACATATTGTCGGTGTACATGTCGCGTTTATACATACGTGTTTTGATGCAGTTTGATCGAAGAACCTGCAATCGGCAACAAAATTGTTGACGCATTGGCCTTTTCAACCCCCCATTCGTTCAATTTTATCTCTTTGGTCTTGTTAAGTTAACCTATCCGCCCCCTTTATCCTAAAACAACGCTGTATTGTGATTCCATGAACTTTTAGCTACATAAAGGCAACATTGAATGGAGGAGAGAGAGAGGGGGGGGGAGGTCTTGTCAATGATTTAGAGTGTGTTAGAAACAGGAGTGTTATTCTACGCATAAATAGGACTGTACAAACATGATGTGTCAACTAATTTTAGCGCTGATTGTGGGCCCCCCTATTGTTCGATGAACAGACAACTAGACAAGTTGTTTGTTGACATGTTTTCAGTTGCATAACGGCGGACTAATTCTGCTTCAAAATTCGGATGCTTACGCTTTTTTAAATTTACTTACAATTCCAACAGCATATGAAATGTCACCAATGTGGAAAACAAGTGAGCTTCCATTCTCGGCTTCCTCAACCATGTACTTAGCTGTATCGTGCGCGCCAGGGATGGCTGTGATCCCCATGTCTCCATAAACTACAAATTTAAAGGACGCATCTGGATCTGTGACGGGAGCTGAACGAAAGTGGCGCACAGGGCTCATTATCTGCACAAGGAGATAAAACCGTGGAGAAATCGTAGGAAATAAGGTGAAAACTCTTTCACACAAATCTTCCCCCAAGTTATGATAAGTAATTATAAGTGCAAACACTTCAGAAATCCCTCGGCGTCGGAGCTCGTGTATTTCGAGGGCTTCCAGAGAGGGGAAGGAATTGCCGCCTACATTTCACGCATACCATAAAAGAATTATACTTCTCTACGATTGAAAATTTACGATGTAAAAACCTGAAACGTTATCTAGTCAAAATGAATGACAGTACAAGTACTACAATAGTGTCCTTTATGCGGGTGGAGGAGGAGGAAGGCAAGGGGCCTACTTAGAAACTTAAAGTTCTAGGATGGGGTGTATTAGACGGGAGAAGTAGCTGACAAAGAAGGAGGGAGGCGTATAAGGGCGTTGATGGTGTAATGGAAAATCCCCAGCTGTGATGCTCGGAAAAAAACAAGTAAGACCAGTAAGACGTTAGTGTTGGAACACCGTACTGCAAAATCTAACATCCTCTTACTGAGAAACGCATGAACTCGTTGAGTATGATTATGAAAGATCAGTTATGTACCGTAGAATTACAAAAAAGTTCAGGGCATAAAGGAAAACCTCAGAACCACAAACTCTTTACCATTCCTGTTTGTGGTTTACTTCTCTGTTCCCCGATTGGCTTTCTCATCGGAAAAAATTCCACGAGAGTTTCTAGGGTTCATTTTTTTTCTGAGTTTCTCTTTAAAGTTACCAACAAACCTCCGATGATCCGTACGAATAGAAATACTGTAGAGAGGGAGTCAATCCTGTCAAGAGAACATCATGAATGTAGCCAGGATTTCTAAAACATATCCACAACGACGCTGGTGGGCCACACATATCGCTCCTTTGGTATGTCTTTGAGGTGCCTGTGGCCCTGAACTTCAGCAGAGAGGGATCTTTTCCATAGGATACAACCGGAGTTTCATCTGAAAAAAAAAAACCATCTCAGTATTACGAAGACGCAAATGGTGAGATTTAAATGAGAGATGAACGACCACAGTAAAATTTTTCTAGGAAAATGTACAGCGCTGGTTTGCTTACGACGCTGCCACATTCTCGTCATCCTTCAACAATTGCTAAAGAAATTTATCAAGATAGAGTGAAGAATAATGCGAAAAATTTTCTCCATCAGGATAACCGAGAATTTTTCCCTAAATTTGATAGTCTCAGTAGCTGTCAGCCATCCTAAGGTACAAAGTAAGGTTATCAAAGAAATCAAGGGCGCAGAGTCACGACATTCAAGCGCACACAATCGTTATGTCGAGGTCCCCTCCACCTCTAACTGTGAATGAGAATCACTCGTGTGATCGATTGTGTCCATTTGGGAGATAAGAACGTAAATGCTTACTGCACATTAGGTGAGGTCACGTGACACGACTAATCATTACGAGACCATTGATTAACATATCTTATAACATAGCGCGCGTGCTGGCCCTATATAAGTCCTATTTAGCCGCTATGAACAAAATCTTTATTTACGCACGCCCGTGCGTAAATAAGATGACGTGGGCATTTCTTTTACCCGGCTTCAGAGTTTCTGCTGCAGCCATAACTGTTCGTCAAAATAACAGTGTGGTGGTTGCCCAGGAGAAAACTGCAAGTTTCCTGCAGTCTGTCTTCTCCAATTGCACCGTGCACAGTAGCGTAAACATTATTTTGAACAATCAAAACTTTCGATAACTTCGGGTCTTTGACTTTTAAAACATTTTTTGGTGACACTTGAGTTCATTTGGCTTTGATTTTCTCCATTTCCACCGTAAATTTTGAGCTTTTCACTTACAATTACCGATTACCTGGATCAAGTGTCCTCGCTCAAACCAAAGTATAAAATGTGGCGTGTTTTTGACCAGCCAATAGGGACGTTTGTTTACTTTTTTTGTGCGTTATGAGAATTTTGCACTCTATCACAATAAAAGGCTTTTTCGCCCAGATCCTTGTTGTCGCTCTGTTATAAAAGAATTTGCTCATGCTTTTAGGTGTGCTTATATCAAGTTATGGATGCACTTGGGAAGTTTGGAGAGCACTCAAAAAGCTAGAGTTGCTCTCGGCTGCGCCTCGAGCTACTCTTTCACATTTTTCGTGCTCTCCAAACTTCCCACGTACATCCATAATTCGATATACGCACGCTAAGCATGAACAAATTCTTAATTTCAGCACCTCTTATGATCATAATCTTCAATGCCCAGCCCCTTTTTCATGCCGATCACCTGCACAGTCATCGTTACCTGAACAGTCATCGTTGCATGTTCAAGAAGAAGTAATCGTTCGGCGAAAAGTAGGATCGAAAGTGAAAGTCTATCACAGCTAAGCACTTCACTAAATAAACGGCACAACAATGATTTTACCTGTTCCCGAAACCCACATAACTCTCATCTGTGTTGGATCGCCTGTAAGGGCCAGATGACCTTGCAAAGGAGCATTTTTTCCTCCCTTAAATTCGAGCACATTACTGGTGGCTACTTGAATGTGTTTCTCCTGATAATAACGGAATTCGCAGCTGGTTCTCATATTGTGCACAGTGACCTGCCTCCAGCCATATCCAAAAACATAACTTGGCGAGTCTGTCACGTAAAACAAGTCCAAATAATGATCAGGATGATCCTCTTCAGGGCAATAAAACGCGATAATATCCGTGCTGTTAGGCATCTGTATTCCACTCCAAGAAACATTCACAGTGGCACTGTTTTCCACCAAAGAGGGATTGACCTCCAGAATAGCACCGGTGGAAAAATCTCGCCGAGTTGGACTCGCAAACTCTACACGAGTTTTAAGATTGCCGGCGTCTACCAATGAGCCGTCCGGATTGATGCGTTTAAAATAAGTGGGAACCGGGTGGTTTTTCTTTGTCTCTGTCGCTGAAAATAAGCTAAGAAGAAAATATGCCAACAGATGAGCCCACCAAGCTGCCATGTTAATATTTCTAGTTGTTGCAGCGCCGGAGCTTATATCATCACTGTTGCGTAACTAGGAAGAACGGGTCACTGCCTGAAAAGGATGCGTGATGTGTCTGTGATGGCGTGATGTGAAAGTGATTGTGTGATTTTCATAGTGTTGAAGACCGTGTTCGAAGCGGGGGTGGGTGGGGGTGTTACCGGTATTGTGTTGTAATGTTATTTTCATATTCTTTTCCTGAGGTTTTGCGGCGTTACTTTTTTAATCTTTTGACCCAAAAACGAACACTGAAAAATAACTTATTGATGACTTTGGTTACCTTTCAAAATAAGGTAGGTGAGAATGTCCATTAGTACAGTACTTTTCGCAGGGTTTCATCGGTTTTAATTGTGTAGATGGGGTTAAAATGTCGTCAATTTGCGCTTGATGTAGTTACTAACCCAAAAGCTAACTGGGCTGACAATTTCACCTCCCCTGCCCCTCTTCCCGGTATCTACCACTTGGCTGCCAATTTTACTTTGGCTCGCGTAAAAATGCCTGTTACACCGCAAAATGTAGTAACGATCGTTGCAAATTGTAGTAAGATCGACGCAAAGTGTAATAACTTTTCGACGCAAAATGTAGTAGATCTCGAATGACATGTATCGTCATAACTCAGTTGTCTAACCCATCGCAGATCATGCGATTTGAAAACATTTTAAAATCTCACACAGAGCAAAGTGTAAGTTCGGGCCCTCTTCGTTTGAAAATTTATTACATTTTATGTAATTGTATAATGCAATGGAAAACTTATTTCATAGCGAGTGTTATCAGGGCCCGCGCAGAAAATTTTTGAGTAAGGGGTGCTAAAGACGCTTACAAAGTCGGTAACTTCGAATGTCTCTGATAACCAACCTCTGTGTGTTCTGGATATTGCATCAGATAAATCAGTTTACTCTGGGTTATGATTATTCCACTTATGCTCGAAATTTGGCCCTCTGTCTTATAGTAGATTATCAGTTGCTAATTCAGGAGAAATCTCGCCTTTCTCCATTAATCAATCCACAAAAGACAGCATTACCGGTAAACATATTTAAGTCTATACAGTGCTACTAAAGTGGAAATTTTTCTCATGAGATGTATGATAATTAAGTTTTAAAACACATTTTTAAGTCTGGATTGTCTATTTTATACCAAACGAGGGTTGGCACACATAAAAAATGATTATCACTTCGTCAACCACACTTGATCTTTGACCTTTCCGCTTGTATTCTGAACCCATTCCCACAGCAGCGCAGACCGATTAGCTTGAGTCAGCCGGCCATATCCATAGTCCCTTTCGTGATACAGCGACCAGCTCGCAGGAAAATAATCTTCTGTATCCAACTCTTTCCCTGCTGTCCCCACGACGATGTGCACAGGTGCTCCTGGGGTACACTGACGCTGGTAGACAGGACATGTGCGCTCATAGCTGTGATAATGAGCCCAGAAGGCCAGATCAACTTTGTACTTATACAACAGAGAATCTAATGCGTGCTGCATGCCCAGGGAGACGATGTAATCCACTGCAAAGGTAAAACAAAGACAAAGTGGAAAACAATGGTTATAATTTTAAAATGATATTGGATATAATGATGATAAAAACAATAATCATATTGATGATGTCATTTACAAATCACGCAGATTTGTTAATAAGCCTGATACGAGCCTCTGTTTATTAGCCGATGAAAACCGTTGTTGAAACAAAATTATTCTTAATTATCCCTCACTCAGCACCTACTCTTGAAAGTTAGTATCTCAAGTAAATTTGTAAGGTTTCCTTCTGTGTGTGAGTTGTGGTGGCCTCGCAATTAATGTCCTGGACTCCAGGACAAGAGGTGTGGATGCTGGTGCTAGTTAAAGTAAGTGTGTTGAGTTCTTTCACGGCTCTATCTTTACCCAGAGTTAGATTCTGCACTGGCTAACTAACTGTGTTGAGTTCATTGCCAAGTGCAAAATTAACCACAATGGCTCTCTCTCCACTCAGAATGGATTTTTCACTGGCTGAGTAACTGTGTTAAGTTCTTTACAGAGAAAAGTTATTATCACTATAGTTTTTTCTCCACTCAGAATGGATTTTGCACTTGTTAGCCTTTTAGTCCCATTAGTGACCTAGACAGAATTTCTCCTTACACCATCAGTACAATATCAAGCAGACAAGTAATGAGAATAAAGAAAAATATCAATTAGGGGATTACTGGTTGATCCAATTTCAAATTCTCCAAACTAACTTCATAGGAACTGTATGGTAGACAGCAAGGAGAATTACTAATGGGATCTTGGGAGTTAAAGGGTTGAGTAACTGTGTTGAGTTCTTCACCAAGAAAATTCATTATCATCGCAGCTTTTCCTACGTCAAGAGTAGGATTTTGCACTGGTTAACTTACTGTGTTGAGTTATTTCAAGAGGAAAGTTGTTATCACTATGGCTTTTTCTCCACCCACAGTGGATTTTGCACTTGTTAAGTAACTGTGTTGAGTTCTTTAACAAAAAGATTCATAATCAATATGGCTTTCTCTTCACCCAGAGCTGGAATTTACACTAGCTGAGTAACTGTGTTGAGTTCTTTACCAGGAAAATTTGCAATTACTATAGTTCTCTCTCCACCCAAAGTGGATTTTGCATTTGTTAAGTTACTGTTTTGAGTTCTTTGCCAAGCCAAATTAGTATCTCCACGGCTCTCTCTCCATTCAGGAGTATAAATATATACCAGTAAACTGTATCTCTATCACAAGAATGGAATGCTAGTCTAACAACTTTAATCATTCAGATAATGGATAGGATGTCTCTCTTACTTTGTAATTGGGCTTGATACTTAATTCTATTTGTCCCACTTACCTTCCTCCTTCTGACTTGAGTACATAGCTCTGTGGCCTACAATCGCTACCCAAGGGGTGAGAGAGCGGTTGACATTCTTTAAGTCTTGTTCAATCCATTTGTACTGACGAGATCCTTGTGTAAAGTTGTGTTCTGTGCTCATCATTGTGAAGTGGATACTGCCATAATCAAAGCTGTACCTGTCAAAAGAAAGAAAAAAATTAACATTTTCAAAGAGGTGTAATCTACATCAATCATCTGATACAATATCTTTTTTTGATGTAAAAATAATTTCTGATGAGATAAGCATAACAAAAAAAAAAAAAAGACTTCTGTGACTTTCCATTACAGGCATTATTTGTACACATGCAGAAAGTTGGTTAAAACTATACATGACAAAAAAAATTATGCACTTCTATTGGCTTGAAAGGTGTACATTTTTTAAGTAAAATGAGTGCAAAGTCATAACACAAGTGTAAAGTACAAATAACATGCACTGTCAAAATTTTGTCTGTCCTGACTTCTGCGATGCTTTAAATTATGACACAATTTCTCATGCAATTTGGTGTGAATAAGCACTTGTCAATTTTTTGAAGACTTCAAATTGCACTTGCCCTACAGGCTCATGCAATTTTTCTGCTTTTGAAAAAATTAATTCATGCTCAGTCACCAAAACCAAAATCCACTTGAAATCATGTTATTACCTATAACAATACCGTCTTGTGAGTTGTCATTTTTTTTCTGTTAAAAGCAAGAGTTTCAATAATTCAAAATCCTTTTCATGACCCCAACATGAAAGTCTGGATTAATCACCATACATGATCTACACTTGACATAAAAACTCCTTTCTGTGTTCAATGAAGAGTTACAGGAGGGAAACAACAAAAACTTTGAGTTGGTGAGAGAGGGAATAAGTTTGTCATATCTGGACTTACCACCACACTGCATTTCCATTGTCAGGCATGTGGAAACGGTAATACATTGGAACACCACATTCACCAAATGAATCATGGCCCCATCCCCCTGACCACCAAGGATGAAAGCCTTCTCCAGGAGCTCCACTGGGGTCCTTGGATCCTCCCTTCACGTGATCCTGCTCATGGTTCCCAATACCCACCATATATGGCAGTATGGTGGCATAGGGCTCAATAATTGCATGCCACTGTTCCCAGATGTAGGCCTGTGATGAATATAAAATGTTTATTTCATGTGGGAATGGTCTTACAGAAACTACATGTAGAAGAAACCTGTAAAATTCATTTCTTTTAGGAACTGTTGTGCAAAGTGCGAAGATTATAAGAAAGAGACTTTTTGGAGGCACAATAGCAGCATAAGGGAATACTTGAAAAAAAGCTTGATTCAACTGAAAGAGGATTATGTGCAAGTATCCTACATTAGCACTACTCGGGTTTTTAAAATAAAAGCAGCTTTGAAGGCTTGTGATTAGTGTCTTGATGTACAACTAAAGATTTGTTATGGCTTGACCAAAACCTTAAGACTAAACTTAAAGCAAAAGCAATAAAACTTGTTTCACTTACATGCCCTCGAGCATATGATATATCACCATTGTGAATTACAAAAGCTGCAGTTCCATTGTTAGCCTCCTCAGTTGCATAATCTGCTGTCTTGTATGCACGAGGTATTGGGGATACTCCCATGTCTCCATAAACCAGGGCAGTAAACCTATTTGCAGAGCCAACAGGAGGAGCTGTAGAGAAATGCTGAATGGGACTCATCATCTAAATATTAAACATTCAAATATTTTAAGATCATAAATATTGGTACTTCTGATAAAAGTTGAAAGTACTGTAATTGGCCAGTTCTAAGATGCTTGGCATACCTATCTTTACTAGTCACCTGGACAAGAGTTATTTCTAAATCCATTACCCAGGCATATAGCATCATATTCAAGGTTATTTCCCAAAAGCATTATATCCATAGTGTCTACCCAAAGTCTACCCAAAACAGTTTAAGATTACCAATTCTGTGAATTTGGGAATTTATTGTTGGTGAAATAAAAAATATTTACCGGTAGAAATCAGTTGTGTTAGGTGATCTACTATCAATATTGCAAGAGAAAAACTGTTCTGATAGTTCACAAGTTAACATATACATTCACACAAGTTAAAGATTTACAAGACTTGCACAGTTATTTGGATGTCATTTCAATGCTTAGCTTCAACTGATCTTCAGAAAACCATAAGTTCACCTAAAAAGCTGGAAGTTTGGATGGCATTAGACATCAGATAATTCTCTGACCTGTATACCAAATTCTTCAACTGCCTTTTGATGACCCCTTTTATTCAAAAGTAGAACACATTCTAATGTTACAGTATCTTACATTATTCACCTGCTTCTTGATTTTCAAACAAAAACCCTTGAAAGACCACATGTATACAAAACAATTCAGTTCTGCAAAAAATACCTTCTTTGAACCATAAGAGTAGTAATATTTTGTTCCTGGTGTGAGGTTAGTCAGCAGAACATCATGAATATAGCCAGGATCAACAAAGTTATTGACATCATTGGCAGGTGCATTGCACATGTCAGCAGCAGTGTAGGTTTTACTGATATTCCCCATGATCACTTCAGACATAGCTGATGGGTCAGTCCCATATTTTACAAAAGAAGTTTCCACTACAAATTAAAGCAGTGAATTTATCATCAGAGAAGAAAGAAAAAATCTTTTTACCAAAAGGAAAGCTCAGCAACTGTTGATTTTGTTTGTTTGAATTGTTGTATTTACAACAGACAATTCTGCTAAAAATTAAAGCAATGAAATTACCATATGAGGGGAAGAGAAATTCTAGAGTTTAACTGTTGATTTGGTTTAATTGAAAATCGCAATTAGAAAAATAACTGGAAATTATCATTCTATATATCAACGGTGTCATTAAGAACTAATAACAATTTTTGGTGCAGCATGAAAGTCTTGCTTGAAATTGTCAAAAACAGAACTTCTCTATGTGTCATAGCCTAAAAATTTTATATATTATAGTCCAGGATCACCCTATTGCAGTTTACCCCTCCTCTAAAAATTTCAAAAGGGTTCTGCATAGCTTGCTGGTCAAAAGATACCGAGTGTCTAGCCCACAAAAACAAAATAATGATTGATGGGAAAACCAAGTTACATTGAATACTTTAATTTGTGCCTTAGGAAAAAGTGGCAAGTGTAATGCAGAATGCAAGGCACAGACAACATGGTACGCTGAGCAACTCCAGCCAAAGCATGCTTTCTCTGCTCCCTCTATTCTCCAACTATGCACAAATTACAGAACTTACTGAAGCCAGACACCCACATAACTCTCATTTCTGTGGGGTTGCCTGTGAGTGCTAGATGGCCCTGTAATGGCATCTCTGCTCCTCCTTCGAAAGTCACAATATTGCTTTCCACCGCAAGCATCGAGTAATTACCAATCCTGAAGTATCTGAATACACAGTCCTTCCTTACGTTCCAAAGCCGAACTGCAAACTCGCCATAACCTTTAGGGTAAGTCGCTATAGTACTGACATTGACATAGTCTAAATATCGTTCAGGTTCGGCATCTGGTGGACAATATAGAACAACGACATCTTCTTTATTTGGAAAAGTAACTCCATGCCACATGACGTTCACCTCCGCGCCATTTTTTATCTCTGATGAAGGTGACACTTTCAAAACAGCACCAGAATCTTGAGTTGTAATCGGTTTCAGTGGAAAAGAGAACCTGAGCTTATTTGCCGGGTTTCGAGCGTCGACGATGGTTCCATTTGGATACAGTTTGCCGAAATAAGTTGGAACAGGATGGTCGTGTTTACAGTCTATGCCAGTAGCCCAAAAGATGGATAACCAAACCGCTAAATTAGAAACCAAAACCATAGCCACCATTTTGAAATGTGATGTAACGGGTCACATTACATTTTCTTTGTGAAGAGCCTCACCGTGGGGTGGGCAATCACAAGTGAAAGGTAAAGCCGATAACACGTACCCCTTTGTTAGATTAAGGCATAAAAAGCCAAACATTTGTTTAAAGTATTTTCAGGGTATCACCAAAATCGTACGAAATTTTAGGAAAACGAAGGAGCAAGTGAGATTTTTACGGGCTTTTAGATGTTGATGAGGCGAATTGATTTAATAGTTTCTTTGCCATTGTCTAGATATCGGACAAAAGCATAATTTTAAATCTGTTTTCATAGCTTTGACTGCAATTAATCCAACCTTAAAGCGATACTTCCATTTTCTAATCTCCAAATCTACACCACTCAGGTTAGTTAGTAGCCTCCTCCACAGAAGTTGTTAGGCACGTCACGTCACGCAATCGTTCCCCCCCACAAACGTTAGTAGGGAGGAATGATTGCGTGACGTAACGAGCCTGACAACGTCTGCCAAAGAGGCTAAACAGACGAAAGACACACGTTTAAAAAGCTAGTTAGAGTGTTGGGACTTTAATAGGGTTTCATTGAGTCGTTTTGAGGGAAAAAATTGGAGTTTTAAGATATTTTTTTAACGATGTTTTTGTTTGTTTGTCATTGCTTTTTGACTCTTCTGACAAAGTCAAAGGATCACTTCAAACTGCAATGACGCTGTTATTTACTCTTTTGGAAATAGAATGATAAAACACTGTCTGAGTTATCATAAACATGAAGAAAAGTAGACATAGTGAACATCTTTTTAAAAAAATATGGACTCTAGATATCTTAATAAATTTATTTTCATTTACATTTCAAAAGAATTAAAAGATAAAATATAAAAGGAAGATGTGTTCCAAAATAGAGGAAGGAGGGTGTAATATGTTCTCTAGAAGGGTGGAAAAGAGTGCACTAAATTTCTGTAAAAAGATGCAAAGTTGATAAAGATTCTAATATTAAAATCTGAGGTTGTTGTAATCTAAGACAAAAATCTATTTAAATAGGAAAAAAAAAACCAATGATGATTGTTTCCTCACAGAAACTAAAACCCCCTCTCTCCCTCCCTTCTAGGCTGTTCACAGATGATAACTTTATCTCACTACCAAGGGGGTGAGGGTTAGGGGATAATGTCCTCAAGAGATGCACATCCTGAGACAACAAGAGAAAAAGAGCAATTAATGACTTCAAGTAAACTAATATTAATGCCTTGATGAAAGAAATGAGCGAGGATTACCTTGAAAGTTGTCATTTTGTCCATCGATGATACCTTTGATACCATGCGGTATACACTATCCCACTGAAAAAGACCCCCATGCTTAAGAAACAACAGGAGCCCATCATAAGTAATGGGCTCCTGGAAACAAGTGCTATCCAGGTACTGGTGTTATCTGATGTTTCAACTTCATCCTCCTCTAAAATTGTCCAGTATCTGAGTTTTCTCAACAATGATGGTGTCAGTAACACACACATGTAAAATCTGCTCTATTTTTTTAATGTCCCAGTTGTAGAGCAGAACAGGTCACTGCCTGAAAAGGGTGTGCAATGTGTCTGTGATTGCGAGATGTGGAGGACTGAGGATGAACGAGGTGGTGCAAATAATATTTTGTATGGGTTGTTTCCCCCCTGAATTCTACAGCATTATTTTTTTCATATTTTGACCAAAAAAATGAACACTAAAAAAGAACATATGTCTGACTTCAATGAATGCCATAAATTAAAGTAGGTGAGGATGTCCATCACTGCAGGTCTTTTCCCAGGGTTTTACCAGTCGTAAGCATGTAAAAGGGTTATAATGTCTTCAATTTCTTCATATAGATACTAGCCCAAAAGCCATTCTGGGCTGACAATTTCACTGATCCACTGGATCAGTGAAATTGTCAATTGTCAATTGTTTGTGACAAAAGGCAGCATTAACCAAGTTAAAATCTATACGGTGCTTTTAAAGTGCAAATTTTTCTAATGAAATGTAATGAAAAATTAGCCTTAAGAACACAGTTTTAAGTCTGCCCTATTCACAAATTGTCTATTTTATATAAACGAGGGGTAACACACAATCAGAGTGATCATCACTTCGTCAACCACACTTGATCTTTGACCTTTCCACTTGTATTCTCAACCCATTCCCACAGAAGTGCAGAGCGATTTGCCTGAGTCAGCCGGCCATATCCATAGTCATTTTCTTGATACAGTGACCAGCTCACAGGAAAATAATCCTCTAAATCCAACTCTTTCCCTGCTGTCCCTACAACAATGTGCACAGGTGCTCCTGGGGTGCATTGACGCTGGTAGACAGGACATGTGCGCTCATAGCTGTGATAATGAGCCCAGAAGGCCAGATCAACTTTGTACTTATACAACAGAGATTCAAATGCATGCTGCATGCCCAGGGAGATGATGTAATCCCCTGCAAATGTTAAACGAAAAAAAAGTATGAAACAGGGGGTATAATTTTCTAATGATAATGAACATAGTGCAGCCTATACGTGGATGCGGCTTATCTGCAGGTAAATCTGGCATTTGTTAACATGCCTATTAAGAACCTCTTGAAAATTGTGGTTGAAATAATAATTATTCTTAAGCATCCTTCACTCTGAACCTACTCAACCTTGAGCCAAAATGTTAACCACATGACGATGGTAACAAAAACAAACTGGCATCCTCACTACAATGGACTAATATCCCTATCAGAGGAATGGAATGCTTGTCCAATAACTTAAATTGTTCAGGCAATGGATAGAATGCACCTCTTGCTTAGTTATTGGACTTGATACTTATTTTGATTTGTCCTACTTACCCTCCAACTTCTGACTTGTGTACATTGCTCTGTGTCCTGCGATCACTACCCAAGGGGTAAGAGAGCGGTTGACATTCTTTAAGTCTTGTTCCATCCATTCATACTGACGAGATCCTTGTGTAAAGTTGTGTTCTGTGCTCATCATCATGAAGTGGATACTGCCATAATCAAAGCTGTACCTGTCAAAACAAACAAACAAAATTACACATTTCCAAAGAAACAAAATCTATTCAATCCTCCAATAGGATATCCTTCCTTGATGTTAAAATAATTTCTGATAAGGTTAACAAGAAAACATGAAAATGGCAAAAAAACTTAAGAATACATATCTTCTGTGATTATCCATTACAGGCATTCCTTGCTCGCATGCAGATAGTTGGTAAATACCATAATAATAATCTTTATTGAGATAACTTTTAAACAAACATGGTTTTCAAAAAAGAAGGATCTCATACCACTGAAAATAAAATAAAGCGAGTCATCAGTTTATTTTTTTTTCTGTTTTACATAATTGAAAAAGATCACTGCATGACAAGAGCTAGTTTCAATAATTCACAATCCTTTCCTGACCCTAACTTGATAATCTGGATTGATCAACATACATGATAACACTCCTTTCTATGTTCAGTAAGGAGTTACAGAGAAACTCATCTGAAGGGAAACAATGAGAACTTTGAGTTTGTGGGAGAGGAAACAAGTTTGCTACATCTGGACTTACCACCACACTGCATTTCCGTTATCAGGCATGTGGAAACGGTAGTACATTGGAACCCCACATTCACCACCTGAATCATATCCCCATCCCCCAGACCACCAGGGATGAAAACCTTCTCCAGGGGCCCCACTGGGGTCCTTGGATCCTCCCTTCAAGTGATCCTGCTCATGGTTCCCAATACCCACCATATATGGCAGTATAGTGGCATAGGGCTCAATAATTGCATGCCACTGTTCCCAAATGTAGGCCTGCAATTATACAATAGCGAATCATACATGGGCATGCGTAGATATGGAATTTCTCTTTGAGTGTTCAACTCAATAGCTCACAAGTGAGCGCAGCAAACAAGTGAGATGTCGAGTTGAACATGAGAAGAGAAATTCCATATCTATAAGCAACCATGTATTATTTTGTTCATCATATAAACACAATAGCCCTCTACTGTCAAGAAAAGCCTACTTCATTAATGAATGAAAATAAATGAATCAACAATCCCCAAATAACAATCGTAAAGTGCGTTGGCGCTAACTGTCAAAGTGGAAAAAGGCGTTGAATCACGATTACAAAAACAACAATGGTTGTTATTTTTAATTTAACAAATTCTCATTTATTGAATTTGTCCTCACCAACAGAAGAAGTCTTTTAGGTAAAAGACCAAAATCGGCCAGTGGCAAATCTTCCAGTAATCAATTTTCATTATCAGCCGAAAGAAATGCCAACACCAAAGCCACTGAATACATAACTTTTGGTTTCTTTTTGTTGCTAGTCACTCTCAGGGGTTTAAGGGTTAATTAAGGAAATTCATAAAATAACTACATTCAGGTAAAGAGTATTATGGGAAGGTATCCTCAGCGGTTACTACACTGGTTTTTAAAACAAGAGAGGTGTGGTAAGCTCATGATTATTGTGTTTATATATGTTGTAGTTCAATTTTATCCTTAGTTCAAATTTTATTTTCTTTTGTTTTTGGGTATTGTAATGTATGATAATGAGTTTGAAACAAAAGAAATTAAAATTTGAACCAAGGATGAAATTGAACCACAACATATACAACTAAAAGTTGGCCAAGTTTTAACAAAAAATTTGCAACAAAACTTAAAGGAAAATCAACAGAATTTGTTACACTACTTACAAATCCTCGAGCATAAGAAATATCACCATTGTGAAATACAAAGGCTGCAGTTCCATTGTTAGCCTCTTCTGTTGCATAATCTGCTGTCTTGTATGCCCGAGGTATTGGGGATACTCCCATGTCTCCATAAACCAGGGCAGTAAACCTATTTGCAGAACCAACAGGAGGAGCTGTATTGAAATGCTGAATAGGACTCATCATCTAAAAATTAAACATTAAAATATTTTAAGATCACAAAGACTTAATAATGAAAGTTGAAAGTATTATAGCTGGCCAGTCCCAAGTTGAGGCATGCCTTTCTTTACCTGTCACTTGGACAAGTATTATTTCTAAATCCATTAACCTTCAGCATCATATCCAAGGTGATTTCCCATAACTCCACCCAAAAGAGCTCAAAGGCAACAATTTCATGATGTTCAACAAGAAAAGAATTTGGAAATTTTATTCTCAGTGGAAAGAAAACTAATTGCTGATGGAAATGAGATATGATGAGTGATATATTACAGTGTTGCAAGATATCAAACTTTTGTGATACCTCACAGGCAAAATACACTTCTTCTCAGGTGAAAGATTCACTAGACTTGCACAGTTATTAGGGGTCATTTCAATGCTTAGTTTTGACTGATTTTCTTTTCAGAAAACCATGAGTTCACCTAAAAAGCAGGAAGTTCTGTGGGCATCACACATCAGATAATTCTCTAACCTGTATACCAAATTCTCCAACTACCATTTGATGACCCCTTTTATTAAAAAAAAGTAGAAAATATCCTCCTGTTATGGTATTTTATACTATCTGCCTACTTCTTGATTTTTTTTAATCAAAATCCTGGAAAGACTAATATATGACATGATTCAATCCTGAAAAAGATACCTTCACTGAACCATAGGAGTAGTAATATTTTGTTCCTGGTGTGAGGTTAGTCAGCAGAACATCATGAATATAGCCAGGATCAAGAAAGTTATTGACATCATTGGCAGGTGCATTGCACATGTCAGCAGCAGTGTAGGTTTTACTGATATTCCCCATGATCACTTCAGACATAGCAGACGGGTCAGTTCCATATTTTACAACAGAAGTTTCCACTATAAATTAAAGTAATGAATTTATCATCAGAGGAGAAAGAACAAAATCTATTTACCAAAAGAAAGCTAGGCAATTGTTGATTTTGTTTGTTTGAAAATCTAAATTCAGATAATAAGTGGCTTTTATCATTTTTTATATAAACTGTGTCAGTAAGAACTATTTACACATTTTTGTGCAGCATGATAGATTCTTACTAGGAATTGTCAAAAAGGTTTATCCATTTTAATTATAAACCTGATAGTACGCATGGGCAATAAGAAGTGCATCCTCTTTGTTTGGTCAAGATAGCGGGAGATTAGCCTTCTTCCTCTAATGTGTTTTTAAGGAACCTTGCCAATATTCAGCCATCTTGACCAAACAAGCTTGGTCACATAACAAATACATTTAAATAAATAGGATGATCCTTTCCCGTTTGCCAGTAAAAAGATACAAAGAGTCTTACTAAAAAGTAAAATGAAATAATGATTTCAGGAGGAATCGAAAAAAGGGGGTGGATAAGGAAAAAACAAAGTGACATTGGGTAGCTTTGTAAAATGGGAAAAAAGAAGTAAATCTAATGTATACAAGGCATGAGAAACATGGTTGGCAGTGCAACTCGAGCCATAGCATGCGTCCTCTGCTTCCTTTTATTCTCAAACTTTGCAAAAATTGCACAACTTACTTAAGCCGGACACCCACATAACTCTCATTTCTGTAGGGTTGCCTGTGAGTGATAGATGGCCCTGCAGTGGTATCTCTGCTCCTCCTTCGAAAGTAACAACGTTGCTTTGTACCACAAGCATCGAGTAGTTACCAATCCTGTAGTATCTGAATACACAGTCCTTCCTTAAATTCCAAAGTCGAACCCCAAACTCGCCATAACCTTTCGAGTAAGTGGCTATGCTGCTGACATTGACATAGTCTAAATAAAGATCGGGTTCGGCATCCGGTGGGCAGTAAAGACCAACAACATCTTTTTTATTTGGAAGAGTAACTCCATACCACATGACGTTCACCTCCGCGCCGTTTTTGATCTCTAATGAAGGTGACACTTTCAAAACAGCACCAGAATCTTGAGTTGTAATCGGTTTCAGTGGAAAGGAGAACCTAAGTTTATTTGCCGGGTTTCGAGCATCGACAATGGTTCCATTAGGATGCAGTTTGCCGAAATAAGTTGGAACGGGATGATCGTGTTTACAGTCCATGCCAGTGACCCAAATGATAGATATCCAAACTACTAGGAAGGCCTCAGCGGCCGCCATTTTAAAGGAAGGAACGGACTTTAGATGATGTAACGGAGTCACGCGATATATACATCGTTCGCAAACAGCCTCACCGTGGGTTGGTGGGCCAATACAGATGAACGATACGCAACTAATCCCCTCCTCCCCCCCTCTACCCATGCACCTTTAGAATTGAAGAGGTTTAAGGAATTTTTAGAAGGAAGGATTTTTATGGGATTTTAGATGATAATGACAAAAGTGTGTGTGTTTGTAATGAGGAAGATCATTCATTTTTTTCTTTGATTTTCTCTGCCCGCTCTGTCATGAAACCTAACAAAATCACAACTTTTTCTTGCATTCCTTTTTACTATTGAATGACTTCAATACAACCTTAGAGCAACATCCCCATTTTGTAATCCTCAAATTTACACTACTCAGGCAAGGTGGAAACGATTCCCTTTCATCTACTGTTTTGGAGACATACACCAAAGGGTTTCAGAGCGTCTTTTAGAAGAAAAATAATGAGAATTTTAATTTGTAGATTTTTACGTTTTCTGTGTCCCAGGCTACTAAAGTTCTCCCTTGTTTTTTAATCCTCTGACGAAGTAAAAGGATCGTTTCAAGCTGAAATGGCGCTGTTATTGATTCTTTTGGAAATAAAATGATCAAACACTATCCGAGTTATCATAAACCGGCATAAAAGTAGATATAGCGAACATCTTAAAAGAGTCATGGACCTACAAATCTTAATAAGACCTTTATTCTTCACTAACTTAAACTATCGATAGAAATAAAAAGAGGAGGATGGGACAAATTCAAGAGAGGTTAATACGTTCTCTGGAAGGGTGAAAGTGAGTGCATATGGTGTAATTCACGTATCTACTGTCGAAAATCCGTTTAGTTAAAAAAAAATTTATAATATTAAAATCTGGGCTTATCGCACTCTTTTACAAAATCTATTAAAATAGCAAAAAACGGACAACGACTGTTGTCACATAAAATTATTGAAACTCCTTCTATGAATGCTTGCAAGAATGCGTTCGCTTTTGCAAATAAATTTTTCACTTAGGAATAAATATCCCCAGTTTAAATTCAAAGCAATTCATTTCACTGCTGCTCTGATTTTACTGATGGGAAAATTGCCATTTCTCAGCATATCATCGAATTCTAAGCCTTTCACAGATTACTTGCTTGTCTCATCACTAAAGCTGGGGTAATGTCTTTGAGAGATGCACAACCTGACACAACAGAAGAAACATTGCAATTAATGGCTTCAAGTGAATTACTTTTCACACTATGATAAAAAAAATTAGCAATGATGACCTTGAGATTTGGGGTTGGTGTAACGATATCAAATTGATGGCGATAGCGATCTTTACAACGAAGGAGCTAATAATAATAATAATGATAATAATAATAATAATAATAATAATAATAATAATAATAATAGTAGTAATAATAATACTAACAAAAATACAGAATGGGCATGCTCATTTCCTTCTAAGGTGGCCAAACGAATATTTTACGGCAAATAGAAGACGAAAAAAGGGTTTTAGATTGGTAAGTGATTTCGCAGCGTGCTAATCAATCGTAGTCAACGAAAAGTTTGCTAGATTCTAAACCTCGGAGAACCTACAGGTTAAAAAACTACCGCAATACTTTCCAGAGTTAGAGATGAGGCTTCAATAATAAATCCTTAATCAGCTAAAGTATTCTGAAAATAAGTTGTTCAAGTTACAGCAATGGTCATGAATGGTAGTGCTGTTGCTCAAGCAGCGCAAACTCATTTATATCGGAAGCAGAAGCAGGTCACCTTCTTAGAAAGCTTTTGTAAAACCTGAGTCAATAAAACTTGCGTTTGTACTTGAATTAACGGGTAGACCCAAGTTGATGGATTCAGTCGACTTTTGCGAGTTACAAGTTCAAACATGATACCTGCCAAAGCCATGGCCACCTTCAGTTCATCTCTGAGCATTTCAAGGACTTTACTTACACCCTGCTCTCCCTTATAAAAAAAAAAACAAAAAAAAAAAAACAAAGACAAGAGAATGCACAGTTACGGGGCCTGTTGATTATCTTTAATGACGTCTCCTCTAATCCTCTTGAATTGGATGATTTGTTTGTCAAAAAAGATTTCACCCTGGGATCAACGAGGTCTGAATGCAAAAATGGCATAGAAAAATAATTTATATAACGATTCGAAATAAAAGAAATCATATTAAATAACATGACTTTAGAGAACAAAAGAACGATACAAGTAATTTCGTGCTGGAAAACGAGTGGGTGCAAATCTGCACCGGTGGTAGACTATGTTACACCATGATAAGTATTTTATTTTTTGTCCGAAGTCCACGGGTAGCATTTCTATCTCTTTTACGCTGAAAACATAGATGAATAAGAGAAACAAACTGACGTAGAAAAGAAAAACTCACGAAAGCAAAAACAAAACTTTTAGGGGAAAAAGTACCCTGCTCAAAGGGTTCGTGGTAAAAAACGATTGAATGCGAGTCTAAACAAAAAAATTCACACCAGTTTGGCACCTTATATGCGAGTCCCCAGATAACTGGCCTGCCAACAAACACTGCTCGTGCCCCCAAAGCAAGGGCCTTTAGAACATCAGTGCCCAGTCTCACACCACCGTCTATATACACTTCGATCCCAGTCCCTCGCACGGCTTCCACTATATCGGGTAACACCTCAATCTGAGAACAAATGAAATATTTTAATAGTCATAACTCCGAGGCAGAAATAAAGGTGTCTTTCGAAAATTTCGTATCAGTTATCAACGTACAGTGGCCGGGACACCATCTAATTGCCGTCCTCCATGATTTGACACCATAATTCCTTGAGCCCCATGTTGCACCGCGAGACAAGCATCTTCTGGAGTCAGTATTCCCTTGAGAACAAACGGAAGGGACGAAATCGAACGGAGCCAGTCAAATGTCTTCCAGTCAACACTGGCGTCAGATGCATTGATAATATAATTATCAATCTCCTCGTTAGTGCGAAGTCCTTTCTCCGTATGTAACGATTTGAAATTAGCATACTTCAGATGTTTCGGGAGGTGAAAATTGCGCCTGGCTTTATGTCTACCATAAACCGGAATATCAACTGTTAGGAAAATTGCTTTGTAGCCTGCTTTTTCCGCTCGTTTTACCACTTGCTCCATAAATGGCCGATCACTGTAAAACTGCAACTGCATGAATTTGATCGTGTTCGGACACTCCCGCGCGACGTCCTCAAGACTGTTTGTGGAGTATAAGCTTAAACCCATTGCTGTATCTACAGACTTAACCGCTGAAAGAGAGATGAAATAAAACAATCAGACATAGTTTGATGCTACTCTAGTTTGCAGATTTAATGAATGTAACCGAAGAAGTTACAATTCATAGACCCAACGTTTCGACACTCCTGTCTAGTGCCTTCATCAGGGGTGATCTAAACGCTGCAACAAGAGGTCCTTTTATATGATCACTAATTAGCGGCCTTTTTTCTAACGAGGTGTAAATAGGCGTCAGGAAGCAAACCGCCATCGTCACGATTTAAAGGAGCGTGGGCGGAGTTAATATGCCAAGCCTCCAAACAAAGGCGCTGGTGGTAACGCCGATTAGTGGTGATAATTTTAGAATTATCCCACCCAATTGTATGGTTAGTTAGGCATGTGTGCTCCGATAAAGCTGAATTTTCCTTTTTGCAAAGGAAAACCGCTTTTTGGTGCTCTTTTAACCGTGTAACAAACTGACGTTTGGTCTGTCCGTTGTATTCGTTGTCACAGTCATTGCAAGGAATAGGATAAATGGCGTCGGTTCGTTGTTCTTTCGTGACAGGATCCTTGGGTTTGGCGAAGTCTGAAAAGGTTTTTGAGCAACTTTAACGTTGTGGCTATTCAAAATTCTCTTGATGGGTTCCGTAACGTTGGACGTTAGACGTTGGGTCTATGAATTGTAACTTCTTCGGTTACATTCATTAAATCTGCAAACCAGAGAAGCATCAAACTATGTCTGATTGTCCACCTGGTTGCAGTGTGAACTTTAATATATTTCATTTGCGAGAAAAGTATGGTCAAACTGTTGTTACAAGGGTCAACCGGCTCGCGAACATCAGAGTCCGCATTGCTAAGTATCGCCGTCATTTGTATTTCAATCACCGTTGTAAAGAAAACTATGTGCTTCCATCGAGTTTGAGATTTCGGCCTCCTTTACGGAGTGCTAAAGGATACAAGCTCATGGTCCGTACTGGTTTTTCATTTCTTAAGCTACGAATAGATGAATGTCACAGTTCCATACTGCGTTTGCGTGCGTTATTCTCTCGTTCACTCAGTGAACTCTCTGCTTTGATTAACAACTCCGAAACCTCCTGGGTCGAGGAGTTCTGCAGTTCGATAGAACTGCAGACGTTTACCAAACAGAGAGAGAAACACGACAGAAAACTCTGTCACTTGCTCAGTAAGAGGTCTCCTGTTAATTCGGGCTCATCTCTGAAAGATAAATGGGTCATGAACCTTTCCTCCAAGGAGTTATCCGCGCTGGAACGGAGTGGTTTAGAGAAGGGTCCGAAGTTTGCTATTGCTCCTCGCAAAATACCGACTGCCGAAATTGTCGCCACTGTTGAGGAGAGTATCTCTCAACTCAACGACGATCGTAGGCATTTGGTAACAGCAGAAGTAAGTAGCATACTCAGGCGTGCTAAACCCCCTCCCAAAAACATTCAAAAGGATGTTTTCAATGCGCTTATAGCTCTCAAAAAGGATCCGGACAGGCTCGTATTATCTGCTGACAAGGGTAATTGTGTTGTGGTTATGGACAAACAGCAATATCACGACAAAGCTTTGTCTCTGCTTAGTGACAAGAGTACGTATGTACGTAGTACGTTCTCTGCAAACGACAATGAATGGGAATCTAAGTTGTCTTAAGGATAAATAAATTCAGTAATTTTTAGCCCTGCTATGCCATCCAACTATAATGTACCACTTCAAGCGTGGAAGATTTCAGAGTACGTTAGGAGATGTAGCCTTTTTCGTAATCAATGTAATTGAGAGACTTTAAATTTTTTATCGGGTTAGCAAAACCCGATCTGGTCGCATTAGTCGGAATTCAGTGTAAGAACTGTTAGTTTACCTCTGACTGTGGCCAGTTCCCCGTCTGGATGTGCCATTGCTTGATAAGCAGTAGGTGACACACAAATTGGCATGCTAAGCTGGTGGCCTAGAACCGTGACAGAGATGTCCTGTTGAGAAACGTCTCGCAGCATTCGCGGCCGTAATTTTATCCTGAAAAGAAGCATACCGAATCGTTTGGTAAACTAACTTTTAATTTTGATAAGAGATAAACATTCCTCAGTTCTTTTTTAGTAACAATAGCTCAAACCTTTATTTAAAGAAAATGCCAAGAGGGTAGCTTATATTCAGCTGTTTCGGGTAGGCTGTCAAAGAAAAAGGACAAAAGTGCAGGCCAAAATTTTGAAAGGTTATTTGGGTATCCGGTGATCAAAGAGTTTCAACAAGTCAAATAAGCAGACCAACTCGTCAAACCCGCTATGCCTCGTCTTTATTACAGTAACTTTTCTCTCAGATTTCCTTTAAATCCTGGGGTCAAGAAACCGTGACCTGAAACTACCCACATATCTCGCATCAATCAGATTGCCGCATAAGGGTAAGCATCTCGCTCTAATCAGATTGCCGAACTAGGGAACTGCCGGATTTGGACCCCCCAACAAAACTGAGTGAAAACATCATCCTTAACGTTCTAGTAAAAATATATGATACTTTGCGTTTCAGTGCGTACTAAAGTATGTCTTTAATTCAAAACATGCGTATCGTTAATGCATACGAACTGGCAGCCGGAAATGACCCGTCGGATGTTCCTTTTGACCAAGGGAAAATGGGCAAGCATTTAGTTTAATGTTGGAGAAAGGTCGTTTTTGAACCTTTTCCGCGATAGTCGAACAATGCTAGATTCAATAAGAGACAAACTTGTGACACTGATTTATTTTTTCATTGTCAATGCTCGAGTATTGGGACGACATGGTACAGTGCGAGTTGTGCGAGGAATGGTTACACATGAGCTGCGAGGGATTTAAGATTGTCCCGGAAGGCGAGTGGTTCTGCATTGTCTGCAGATCGCCAGACTCTAGAAGTCTTCGTAATTGTTAAAGTGTTATTTCGGATCCCTCATCAGTTAATAATCGTTAAAATTAGAAAATAGGATTAAGTTCGACGCAATAGTCTCCACTTTTGTTAACACGTAGACATGAAAGTTGATTTGCATCTGAAAATAAGCTGAGAGTTCCAATAGTTCAGAGTAGAAACATTTTTACTTATCATAGGCTTTACGAACGACTTGTATTAGGAGTAGTTTCTTCACTCTTGTTCAGAAACTGTTTAATGTTATTATTTTAGAAAATCAGACCGAGTTATTTTTGTAACTGGACGCTGTAGTCTCCACTATTGTTATGACGTTTCGTATCAATGTTGATTCGTATCAGAAGAAGCAAAGATTTATTGTAATAATTTCAATAGTTCGAATGCAGTAGTTTGTTCGCATCTAATTCTTGCGTATACTGTACGACTCGCTATAATAAATGCGACAGAAATGGAACGAAATGGCTGGTTTTTCTTTACCTTTTTTGAGGAATGTTGTGTTGTGATTGAAAAGAACATCGACAAAAAGCTTGACTGAAAATAGAATTCGTTACCAAATATGATACAAACGATGCTTAAAAGGAAAGTTTGGTAGGGGGGGTTCCAAATCTGCGGAGGGGGGTCCAAATCCGCTGTGACACTGGGCACGGTCTCAGATGGACTAAGTAATAAATGCCAGGCAGTCAGAAATTTTCATCAAAATGCCACCGAAAGGTTCCTTTAAAGTGCTAAAGAGCATCAGATGTTTGCTTGGAAATGTTAAGCGATGCTAAAAAATTGGTATTCTGACGTAGCTGACCCTTGCTTTCACGCCACAGTTGTCTACGAAACCAGTCTGACCTCCTAAGCTTCATAACATGTTTATAAAATTTATATTATATATATCACCGACTGTAAGAAATTACGCCGTCAGTTACTGGCGTAAAATCTTACAGTGTATACATTACCGACTGGAAGAAATTACGCCGTTAATTACTGGCGTAAAATCGTACATATAAACATTACCGACAGGAAGAAATTACGATAACCCTCGGGCCCATGATTCGAGTTATCGAGAGAAATATTCATGAGTCCTCCAATTTATCACCTTAGATATTAAAAATCCGTCTCGTCGAAATTCAAATAACTATATTCCAACCTTTCGTTTTTCGCTTATGCCTCGAATGATGTGTTAAGTTTTTGGATTGGTTAAATTCCGTGTCTTCGTGATTTACGAATTAAGCTTGGACTAGGTCTTTACCTTACCTTCTAAAAGCTTCTCGATTTTCGTGCAAAGTCACATCCTCGTCTGCTCCTGTAGAATAGTAATCAAAAGCGTTTTGGTCTAGATGTCTTGCAGCATAGGTCTCCAAATCATCCATTGTGACAGGACCTCCAAAAGCCATCTACGGTCGTACATGAAATGATCTGTAACCTTTTCAAAGAGGCCAAGAGTTTGCTTGATGCTTGGCAAACAAACACAGAATGAAAAAGAGAAGGACTGGGGATAAAGGTCGTTTTGCTGTATCACCGTTCTTCGATCGACGAAATTTGCATCGCTCTGGTGTTGGACTCAAAAGATCTTTATCAACACTTACCAGACCTGGAAACAAGAGTCTAATAGTAAGATTTACCCTGTGCAATAAGTCACTGTGCAAGAGCTGTTTATTGTCAAACGACATGTACAGTTGAACTTCGATTATCCGGACTCGGTGGGACTAGACGAAATAGTCCGGATAATCAAGAATATGAATATTAACGAGGAATAAAAACTAGTTAAATTAAAAAAAGCGATATTTGATCATGAAATAAAACATGTACATATCATTTTGAAAAAATATGGTCTACGTCTTCACTGTCAATTGTGAACACCGATTTGAAAATGCTAAAGACAGTAACTGGTCCAACAAAACCAAACAGGCAATCCGAATAGGCTACGCAAATCGTATAATCTATTCCAATATATTATTATTCGATCTAAAGAAAGAACGAGATACATTTGAGAAATTGAACAGGATCCATCGATTCATAAACACACGAGTAAAACTATTAGATAGAATTACAGCACTGAGAACTTACTTCTATGACGATGTCTAGTAGGATTGTTTCACGGTGTATAGCTACGTACAGGTCAGCAACAGATGAAACAGGTCAGGGTATAACAGAACACGGGTCAGCAAGACAGGTTAGCAGAACTTGTACGTATCTTCGAATCTTAAGTATCTGAAGGGAGTTACCACATCACGGGCGACGAGCGGGGATAGAAAAAACGACCCAAATATGAGCGGTCAGCGGTGAAACAGCTTTTATACTTCATATAGAGACATAATTTGTTGTTCCAGAGACAATCGTATTGTAAAGCCGAAATGTTAACAGTTTACTTCACAGTTTAAGCAATTTTTCAAAAGTGTTGATTGAACTCATATCTTTTACTGCTTTAATAAACAATGGAGGCTTCGGAGAGGGAGTCAGTGGCATTTGGAAAGGCACCAAGAGTAATTATATATATGGTTTGTAGCTAGCTGCGTGACGTGCGTGACGTTAAGATAGATTTTCACGAGCGTCAATGGTGCAGAATCGTAACTTGATGGAGCCAACAGTGGACAACATCCCAGAATTCAAACTTTGTGATTTTTTTCTCGGCTTAAACGCTAAGTCAGTTGTTCAATTGAATAGGAAGAAAAACATTTCGAACGGAAAACAGCATTATTTGCACGTATGGATCTTTTGAGAAAAGGTCTCCTAAACGAGTGGTCTTGATTGTAAATATTTAAGGAATGGTAAATACATTAGCCTTAACATGGCTGTTTCTCGAAGCTCAGTGTTTTCCTACTTGCCTTTTTTCCACGTGAATTGGGGGCGATTGAATAGATATAATATGCAGTAAAAGAACTTCAGCTGATAGAAATTTTAAATTTCTCATCTTAGGCTGTGGATACAAAATTCAAGTGAAAAGGAAGCCAACTGTGATTAATGCTTTGAACAAGTCAAGATACGTTTTTTTCGTCACACAACAAGTTACATAACGTGAATATCATTCTTCTTGATGCCTTTCCCGGTGTCACCAATGCCTTTCCCGATGCCTCCGTTGGTTAATAGGGCATTAAAATTATTGTTCCAGTTAAAGCTTGAGGAAAATTGCTTAACTTTTAAGTAGCGAAGTGTAACTTGGTAACATTTCGGCTTTACAACACGATTGTTTTCTGCAACTACAAAACGTACATTTAATTCTTCTTGGTACCTTTCGGATGCCACCGATGTCTTCATTGTTTACTAAAGCAGTAAAAGATATATGTACAATCAACACTTTTGAATTGCTTAACATTTTATTTAGCGAAGTAAACTGTTTACACTTCGGCTTTACAACACGATTGTTTCCTGATACTACAAATGATCTGTCTATATATGAAGTATGAAAGTTGTTTCACCGCTGACCACTCGTATTTGGGTCGTTTTTTCTATCCCCGCTCGTCGCCCGTGATGTAGTAACTCCCGTATCTGAACTGAAAACTGAACTATTCACGTGGCTTAATTACATAAGCTAGTGTCAATCAAAATCAATCAGGAAAATCAAGTTAATAATTCATCAGTAACAACCGAGAGTGGTCGAGTACCTTCTCCCACGGGACTGCTTAGTACAATAGTCACAGATCAAAACAAAATCAAACTAAATCTGCCCGATTATGAAGTGTTTCCTTCCGAAATAAAGAACAAAACATGGGGTAATATTAGCCACGCGAGCTTCTGTAATATTGTCAATGGTGTTTAGGACGAAATCGTCCACTACAGGAGAAATATATTCAATGTACCATCTGGCCGTACAGGGAAGAGTTTCATTGAAGAATTCACTTTCTGGATTAAGCAGTTCAATGCAGATTCTGATTTGCAAAACCAAGGGCTCAGCAGGGCCATCTGGAATGGACTCGGAGCTTTATAGGAGAATCCTGTGCTCTAAGAACTTTAAGACTGAGGGTAAAATCCTGAGAGAGGAGATAGCTGTGTCCACGAGAAATCTGCTTAAGAAATCGTACCATCCATCTTTACTCGAAGCCTTTGCAGCTTGTAGGCTCATCCCGCTCGACAAGAACCCTGGAATAAGACCAGCAACAAAGCAACTTAGCAACAAAGCAACTCTAAACCAATCAAACCTCATTCGAATGTTCTCCACTGGTGTCAACATGTCAACCAGATTTACTTAAGTTTGTCATATAATACTCAGCATAAGTATGAGTGGAATTTCTTAGAAAGGAACAGTCTCTATTTTCATGATGTTTCTGTTTGATTAGGAGTATTGCTGACAAGGCCAACCATTGTCTGAAATACTACAATCAAGTCATATTTAGGCTCATAGGATAGCATGATTTTAACTCACCAAATTTACATTTTCCTTTTGTATTTTCAGTGATCTTTAACAGCATGTATGACTGTATGAAAACCTTCAGGGTCCTTATGTTATTCTTGAAAATATAAAATGGTCATCTTATATCTATATATACATAGAATTTATACAATTAAATAAATGAGATTAACCTTTGCCTGTGTTAGTTATTGTATTTTTAAATAAAAATTGCTATTATTGAAAAGAAATCAAATCTTTCTCATTTGAACGCCAACCAGAAACCCTTTACTTATTGCCTAATAATGCCTGCTTTAGTTTTAGCTGATTCCCCATAAGGAGTCATTTGTTGCTCATAGCTTGTGCAGTGTGCCATCAAAGAAGCAGTGGTAGGTACACTACCAAGGAACGAGAGGATATTCTTAAAAAAGTGATTCTAAAGTAGTATAAGACTAAAATGGAATGCCAAAAAGTAAAATGCAGGGCAGACTGTGATAAAAGTTGAGCAAAGTCGATGAAATATGCAAGCTGTACTTCAAGTATTTTCTAAGCCTCCTAAGAAAAAAATAGAAAGTAATATGTGGGGAATTCAATGAATTCTTTAATATAAAAAATAAAGAAGCCTTAATCCATCTGTCAAACACGCAAAAATTTGAAATAATTCCTCCAAGAAGATAGGGAAGATATAACTCTTAAAATTTCACCTTTCAGAAGACATACTGAGGCAAGTGTTGTCCTCCATGATTAGATACCATAATCCCATGAGGAGAGGGGAGTGGGAAGAGCCCACTCTTCCCAATCCCTTATCCCTTTTTCCCGTACTCCGTCAATAACATTGCCCCATAATTTCCTTCTTGGCACACGCTGTTAGGAATGAAAATAAACATCTGACCTTTGTCCTCTCTGAAAACAATTGTAGTATCGGGGTCTACTCGCGGTGATTTACACGTGCGAGCATGTAGAATTTGTTGGACTGAGGGAGAAAGAAATTAATTCGAGCACTTTGCCAAGTTGAGTCCCAGCCAGATCAGATATTTCACGCATTTGTTCATCAGCGAAGTTACAGCAAAATTGCCGGTGGTTTTTAGGCTCACAGCTCGGATCAGCAATTTCGAGAGTGTCCTATACGCAGAATGGGTAAAAAGGACAACTGGAAATTTCAGCGCGGTTGTCAGGACGGACGACCTATTGGTCTCTTCGTCAGTAACAGCAGATTCTCCTCCTAAAGCAGGTGTCCGCGAGGCTTGAAGGGATTCCACTTATATTCCAGCGGCTCATGTTTTCGTGCCTATTTTAGCCATTACCTAAAGCCCAGATAAGTTGTTCATCCTTAAAGAGTGATAACGTCGTTGCAAAATGTTTGTTGTTGAAGACAGTTGTTGGGAAGTCTTAATTATCCTGTGAAAACGGTCAAGGTACCAATTTCTGGTTGTACTTAAGAGTTTTCTCTGCAACTATCTCTAGTGAACTTCTGATTTCACTGTTTTAACGTAATCACCAGAATCGCGGGAAATAATAAACAGATGGTGTTCCAGGATTGGCTTCTTCAGTTGGTTGATAAAAGCAGCCTAGCTGAACTTCGTTTCATAAATTCCTATAAGCTATATAATTAAACTCGACTGCTCTCACTTTCTCGTCTTTTTGGCTGGAAAAGTTTGTTTCACTTAACTTAAGAGAGAATCGTGAGATTTTCTCATACTGTAATTAGCGATCAAGCACCCAGTTGGTCATACGAGAAAGACAGTAATCCCCGTGCTTTTGACCCAACTTCCTGCATGCCTCAATGCACAAATGAATTACAGCACGACTCATGATGAGGTCAGGGGTATTTTGATCCTATTACTCAGTATTTGTCCATGAGGATTTTCATCCTCATCTTATGATGAAGTTACTCATCACACTTTATATATTCACACTGTATCCGGGTTGAAGAAAATCTGTTCTAGCTTTATACGGCTTTTTTAGTTTCTTACTATTTTTTTTTAGTTTTATTATTTCAGCTCGAAATAGGTATTTTATATTTTACACCTTTACACTCCTATTTCTGTTTTTTCTCTTCCCCACATCAATTTTTATTCAAATATTTTTGTTTCATATGTATCCGTGATTTGTACATCCGGTATTTTCGTGGATCGTCAAGTTCGAAACCTGAGAAACCTGAGAAATACACGATAAGAACTTCAGATAAATGTCACGAAAATAATTTTTTTTTTTCAGTTTAGTGCGATCAACCTTTGCATTTTATTATTGTTTCATAACTATTTTTGGCTGATCAGATATTTTACAGATCTTCCCAGGCCGGCCTCAGTTTCAGTTTTTGGCATTTCAACATTTCAAGGATCATTCTTCAGAGCAACGATTTCTGTGTAAACTGTTTATGAAGAGCTCGTGGTGATGCAAGAAAAATATTTCCTGCTTGGGGCGTGCCTCTTACGTCACAGCGTGACAGAGAGAGACTGCATCGAGCACGAAACTAGGCACTGGGAACGATATCAGGATGTGACGTCAGTTATCGGAATGGCCGGAGGAGGAAAGTGTTCATCGGTGTGGGAAATGATACTAGTGACACTGTGAAGGGGGATGTTTGTAAACCAACACTGCACTTATATTCATGTTCTGAGTAATTCTGTACAGAATTTTTAAACAAGTTATCCTTAACATTACTGGTGCAAGATCTTTCAAAATCTGCTCAACTGGGTTAAGATTGTACAAGTTCGTAATAGCTGCTGCACACTCTTATGATCAAAATTCAAGATGTCTTCGTTCTTCAAACAACTGTTCCCCTTCATGAAAGTCAAGAAAAAGAAGGAATTTTCCTACATTATTCGTGGAGTTGACCCTAACACTATTTGGAGTCTTGTTGGTGAACTAGGTGATGGAAGTTTTGGGAAGGTTTATAAGGTAAGATTAAAATGCATATTCACTATTAATTTAAGCCGTTGCTGCACTGTAAATTCCAACGAAATCTTGTTTGGTTTGACTTGATTCAGCTTCGAGTTTGTCTCATAAGAAACACTTTACAACGCCTTGGGGAGTTACAGGAATATTTTTATGGTAAATTCTAGAAACAATGTATGGATGCAAGTATTTCGTGAGAAAAATGTCTGTAAATTTCCTCATTAGTTTGAAGTTGTTCATGCAATTGGTGCGGCAATTCTTAAAATTATTTTGAGATTCGGTTTTTATAGCCTCACCGGCGACAGAAATATGCGACGGCAAAGCCTAACATTTTGCTTATTCTGATCGTGTTTGTGCAATGTTTACTGAACAAACAATACAAATGCTATGTACTAATCAGTCGTTTGGATGTTTCTGTCAACTTTAATTTGCATTGTGGGATGCGGTGTAAGATAAATAGTTTTAAAAAAGCTTCAAATTACCTCTAGTATAGATTACTCACACATTCATCCAATTCTCCATTTGGAAATACTATTTCAGTTTGAAATATAAAATGGTATCCCTCAGGCATTTTGCACACAGGAACTAACAAGTTCAACAAAAAAATAATTACTGTAAATGGAAAGCTATTGAAGTATGACCCTTACAGTCGCCACATAAATGTATTCATGACATCAATGATATTGGTGGGCAGCTGTAAAGCGCTTCCTGCATAGGATAGCCTAAAAGTATCAAGAGAAAGTATCTTGTGGTTTTATTGCTATTACTTCATGAAAGGAATCATTTTTTATCATATTAACTGAGAATCTGGCAACCATCATCTGCTTGATAACCATCTTTTATGCCCTCTCCTGAGATCTGATTTATAATTCTCCTGTTAAGTTGCTATACATTTTATCTTACTTAGTTAAGAGAATTTGGTATTTTATCAAGACAACTCAAGTTCGCCTGTTTTTATCATCTGATTGGTGTATAGCATAATGATTTTGTTTGGAAAAGTTGTTTGTTTATCACCTCTTGGGGTCAGAAGATCAATTTAGTCTAGATCTTCTGTTAAAATCATACATACATTTGTAAGAATTATCTGACACTTGTAAGGATTCAGATAGATCCTCTCAACTGAAACTTTTGATGTTAAAAAAATCTTGCACAAAGCAGTATAGTGTGCATAAGGAAGTGCAAACAAAAAGCAAAAAGATTTTGAACACAATGTTATGCAAAGTGTCAGATGTATTATCTGTTTGAAGTTTTTCAAACTATTTCATTTCTCACATCAAAATTGCCAAAACTCATTAATGACACACTAGAAGAACAGGGCAGCAATGCAAACAATGTTCACAAGGATTACATGGCATCATATTAGTGCTGGAACAGAAAATGTTCAAGGACAAATTCATGAGAATATTTTCAAGCCATCATGTTTATCAGGCCTGCATGTTTATGGTCTTCCAAATATTTTTTTTATATGCAGGAAAAAATCTTTCTATACTGATTAGTATCAATATTGTCTTTTCAGGGTTGTCTTTTTCAACCATTAAACATTTTAAATTTGTCTCTTTTTCTGTAACAACAGCAAATTTCTCTATTATCATGAAATGAAGGTTAAATGAAGATTTTTATCGTTTGGGACATGATATTACATTTTCTTATGACCCATATGGCCTGTGTGTGTGTGTATTTAAAGACACAAGACAAAAATCCCTGTTTGAGGGCTTTGGTTCTCTATCATGACCTGCCTGGCTGGCCCTCTCAATCAGTAAATAAGTACATATCTGGTGGGGCATTTTAAGTCAAAGTATGTATTGAGCTTTAATTAATGTGATATAAAATACTCAGGTGGAAGTTTCAGTTGTTTGTTTCACTGAATTTGTTTCACTAAAATGTTTTACAGGCAGAACGAAAAACAGATAGTGTTCTAGCAGCTGCCAAGATCATTGATGTTAAAGATGAAAGTGAACTGGACGACTTTATGGTTGAAATAGACATTCTGAGTGAGTGTAAACACAAGCATGTCGTGGGAATGTATGAAGCTTACTACCATGAAAATAAGTTGTGGGTAAGTAGTTAGCAACTTATGTTGCAGAATGTATTAAATTATAAATACCTTAATTTGCTTACACAGAGCATGGAAAAAACCAGGAGACAGTTTCCAGATACCCTTGAAAATGAAATCATTTTGTTAATTGTATTAATCTCTACTTAGTCTATAATGTTGATGCAACTTATTGTTGTACAATCAGATCTTTTATCAAGTTATTAACAAATCAGATAACAGTGAAGTAGGAGTCCAATTTGTTAATCATGTGTATGATTACTGACACAAATAATATATGATGCAAAGCCAAAGTTCAATGTTATATTTTTATTTATGAAAATTTTACCGGCTGGGTATATTGTTTTGTAAATATGTCATAGTGTTAATTACTTGTGAATAATTGGTAACAGGACTTAATTGATTATCAGAGGCCCAATATGAGTACATAGTCTAATAGCTATGCTTGTGATATGACAGTTTGTGTTGTGTGGGATTGCTCTCATACAGACTGTTGGAACTTACTTTATTTTTGTTAATGCTCAAAACAAGTTGCTGATAACCAACGAGGTTCAAGAATTGAATATAGTTTTGAATGTGGTATGGGAATACATGCTGATACCAGGTATATATTAAGTGGTTGTAACAGCAATTTAGATAAAGAATTCATGATTGTTTGATTTGCAGATGATGCTGGAATTTTGTTCTGGAGGAGCTTTAGATGATTTAATATTAGGTAAAAATTTTATTAAGGCTACATTGTATAAGCATCAATGTGTTACAAGTTCCTTCTGAGGGATATTTACACCTCAAGTTTTGTAGCTGGACAGCACCTATGTCATCTCTGGTAGGAAAATGAAATAGAGGTGGGTGGGGAGGGGGTCACTGGATTAATTTTGCTATAGATTGTTTCCCAGACAGTACTATCAATGGTATTCTTATGCATTATTTGATCTAATACACAATTGCAAGGTAGTAGGATGGTGTATTCTAACTTGAGTCTGTGATATTAATCTCAGCTTCAATAGTTTTATCAAAAAGATATTTCCTACCAATGTCATTCCTTCAGAAACAGCTTGGTTTTATGTGAACAATGCAACTGCAAAATAACTGAAATTATTCAAATTCAGAATTTTTTGTTGAGGGTTAGTAGAATCAGTAATGGAATGGATTTATTTAAAAAAAAAAAAAAAAATTATCTTCCTCGCTAATAGGGTGTAAATCATGATACTAGGACAAATTTTATGTTGCCCTGATTGGATAAAAATTTTGGGTAGAAGGATGACCACAGTAAACTTTAAATGAACTTAAAGGGAGTTGTTTTATTAAACAGTATGTATTTAATGTACTCTGGGACTGGTTTCATAGACCTGGAAAATGATTTATTTTCTGTTTTAGAACTTGAGCGAGGTCTAAATGAAGAACAGATCAGAGTGGTGTGCAAGCAAATGTTTGAGGTAATAATAATTTATTGTTGTATACAGTTCAATGTCCTTTTTACTCATGAGTATGCAGAGCATAGGAAAAAGTAAAGTGGGGATTGGGCATGCACATTTTGTGGCTTTAGCATGGCCATAGGAGTCAGGGAGAGTATGCATCTTATAAATGATGTTGGACCAATCTTTAATTGTGGTGAATCAATTAGGGAGTACTTTCATGGGATGACAACTCATTTCAGTTTCTTGGAATCACAAGATATTGGCTGGTAGTATTATCACTGTTTATTCTTTTTGAACACTCTGCACAGGGTATTGATAGGTTCACCATAGTGTCACTTTGATTAGTGTCTTGAATGGCAGTTGCCCTTGTGAAAAACAAGTTTGCTTGAGCTTATTTTTTTAGGATGAATGTGTATTTTTAAGGGCTTCCAATCTTAAGGGATGGTACCTGCTTCTATTAGTCATCTAAGGGATGGGTGTTATTAATAATAGTTATACTTTCTTTGAAGTGCACCCTGCACAACATCATTATAATACTAATCCTAAGACTCTAAGGCTGCCAAAACTATTTCTATAATGCATATTCTATGGCCCATCATTTTCACATCATTTTTGTCTACACTTTCGTGGGTCATCTGACTGAATTTTAGAAAGTAGTCAGAAACCTCTGTGCTTGATCTGTAAACTCTGTTCCATAGTGAGAATTTAATTAGCATCTCATACTCTGGTAAATTTTTTCTTCATGAAGTATATATTTCTCTACAGTTTCATTTAATAGTATTTGTTTGTGGAAATATACTATGGCAATTTAAAAAAAGTCAGGATTCATTTCAGTGATGCTGAAAAGTCATGTTAGCTACTATTTATAATCTGTTTTGAGAAAATTTTATCCACTCATTCATGTATTATCTTCTTAATTGTAGTGCCTCCACTTTCTTCATACTCACAAAGTAATCCATAGAGATTTGAAAGCTGGAAATTTACTGCTTACAAATGAGGGCAACATCAAGCTTGGTAGGATATGTTTGTGATATAAAGGAGGCCTGGAAAAAATTCCTTTCTAGGGATGAATTCAAATTTGCAAAGGGGCACTCTTACTTGTACTTTACTCTCAAAGTGCCTCTTCCCCCTGCAGGAGTGTAGGCTCTGTTGCAAGGGGTTAGGTCATTATTGAGCAACCGACCAGCATCCTTTCCTTGAAGTAGGTGGAGTGTTGTGTTTTGTTTTGGGCAAGGCAATTTACTCTCACAATACCTCTCTCTCCCCCACAGGAGAATCTGTGGGTTCTGGCGGACTACTTGGGAAAATATATGTGGGAGGGGGGAGAGGGGTAAGGGCAAGTTATAAGCAATGGATTGGTATTCTTTTTGTGAAGTATTAGCATCACTCCTAGTTGCTTAATGCTACAGAAACCAGGTAAGGTATGGCTTTTAAGCCAACTTTACCATTTTAAGTTTCACAAGTGGGCAAAAATATTGATTGTAAAAATATGATTTTTTCCTCATTTGGGGTTATTTTAATAGAAGGTTACAATTTTTCATTGTCTTAAAACTAATGGGTCTCCCAATGTATATTTGGTGTGCATAATTAGAAAGTTTCCTAGAGATAGGATTTTAAGCCTCCCTGTGAATGAGTGCAATTTATTTTCCAGCTGATTTTGGTGTTTCTGCCAAGAACAAGAAAACTATACAGAGAAGAACAACATTCATTGGGACACCTTACTGGTGAGTTAGATTATGACTCAAAGATGTCAAAAATGTGTTGTGATGTAGCTACTTAAAGAAATTATGGAGAATTTGAGCCAAAAATAAGAGTCCCTCAGATTTTAACCATGTAATTGCTTCTTGAGGGTCTCTCAGAGTCCAACAGTTGCAAGGGAAAAAACTTTATATGTTTATTTATTTAGTTATCAATAATATTTCACTAGGCTGGCCTAGTTCAGCAGCAACCAGTAATAACATTTTAGAGTAATATGTGCTAAAAGACCCGAGATAATTTACAACAATTAGTACATGCTAATTTTTAGGATGGCTCCTGAAGTTATTGTAACAGAGACATGCAAAGATGACCCCTATGACTACAAGGTAATGTTGACTTCATCTTGTTAGATAACGGTGGTATGCACTACTCTGATCTTTTCATTATACCTCAGATATGCTGGTGCTAAAACACAATAAGACAAACTGATGGTACAGATTTTTAAGACTGTGTAGTTTGTAAATGTGGAAATCTTTCAAGCAAATGTACTGCTCTGTAGTGTGAGACCATGTAGTATTTTTCACAGAGCCATACAATGCTACTTTTGAAGGTTAAAGTATGTCATTAAAGTTACATTTACCTCATGTTCTTTCCTCTTGTATGTTGTGGTAATTTTATTACAGTAATGCTTGTAAAAGGCCCTTTTTCCTTCTCACCTCCTAAAGGGTTAGGATCGCAGCATTCAGAGAAGTTGAATGATCTTCACTTTGCCAACTTTAACTTTCTTTGCTTTCATTTAAGGCTGATATTTGGTCTGCTGGTGTTACACTCATTGAGCTGGCTGAGATGCAACCTCCCTACCATGACATGCACCCTATGAGAGTGTTGTTCAAAATACCTAAAGCTGACCCACCTACACTGCAGTTTAGAAATAGATGGTAAGTAAGGTCATTGAAGGGTGGAGTGGGAAAGGGTGATGGGCCATTAGGCTCAGTGTCAGTTAGGGGAACAGTGACTTTTAGTGGGAGGCAAGGAGGATACACTTACTGTGTATTATTATAGACATGTATGGTTAGCTTTTCCTCTAAATAAGTTATATTTTACCAAGTTTTCTGTCTGTTCTAGTGTTTGCAAAAGTATTGTTATTTTAATACAACATTGTTGATAAGCCATTGTGGTCTTAAAGTCAGGATCACGTTCTCTACATTCACATACTCTTCTGATTTTTTTTTTTGCTAGGTCCAAGGATTTCCATGACTTTCTGTCTCTTTGTGTGGTAAAATCCCCTGAAATGCGATCATCAGCAGCAGATTTACTGGAGGTGAGAAACCAAGATAATTTATGGTCATAATATGTGTTCAAAGGAACAACATTTTCACAGAAATTGATAGAATCAGGAAATTTAACTCTTCATTCCTTGTGGTGTTAATCCATTGACACCTGAGAGTGACTAGCATCTAATGTCTCCATATAAAGCACCCCTGAATCACACATTAAGGTCACAATAATAAAAACAAATTCTCCTTGTCAGCACCTTAGGAGATGTATAGAGAACAGTTGGAAGAATTTGCTTAAAGATACTAGGGTGTAAAGGATTAAGTAAGCAGCACACAGTGTTAGTAATCCAGGTGAACATTCGACTTTCCTGCAGCATCCTTTTATTGTCAACTGTGTTGACAATAAACCACTGAAGGAACTGTACAATGAAGCCAAGGCTGTTGTGATTGAAGAATTTGAAGATCTTCCTGAAGATAAAGAGGTGCTGTTTTACTATTCATTTGATTTAGTTTTGTGAATGCAATATTTATTAGGAGAGGCATATGCTCGTGGTATGCTCATTCATTAAGGGTGCAGTTCTATCTGATGATATGGATCATGATTCAACATTAAAATAGGCCAATTGAATGGCCCACTGACCCACAGACCCACAGACGGATGGAAAGTTGTAAAATTTGTATGAATTATTTTGTAGATTCTTTGAAAAGATATTAACTCAGCTGTGCTATTTCTTAAGACTGTACCAAAGAATAATTGAGAAATGTTTTCGCTCGTTTTGTTTTGTGTCTCAGTTTGCTTGATAATTTTCTGACCAATTAACTTATTTAAATTCACTCTTTGGTCACGATTTTTCTCCACTTAGAAGAGAGATAAAGAAGCCCTGAAGTCAGCAGAATCGACTGAGTCTTTGGACGAGAGTGAAGAATTGTTTATCGAAACAGGTTCAAAGGACTTGGATAAGGAGAAAGACGAGAGAGAGGAGAGTGAGCTGGAAGAATCTACAGAGAAGGAAAAAGATTCTGAGAAAGAGGATGGAACAGAGGAAGGTGATGAAGATCTCAAGGAAAATGCAGAGGTGAAGAAAGAAGAAAGAGACGAAAATTTATTAAAGAAAGAGGAGGAAATTGCAGATAAAGGGGAAACGAAGGAAGAACAAAAGTCAGAAGAAGAAAGTAATAAAGAAGAGGGACCCTTGGAAAACCAAGCGGATGCAGTGGAAGAAAATATAGAAGTTTTCGATGACAAGGAGGTGAAAGAGGAAAAGGAGAAAGAGAACCTTGAAGAAAAGGAGGAGGAAGTTGAGGTGAAGATAGAGGAAGCTGGAGAGAGGAAGGATGAAGGAGAGGAAGGCGAAACGGAAAGTCACGGAGCTGAAGAAAAGAGGGAAGAAGGTCAAGCTGAAACGGAGGAAGCGGTTCAGAAAATCGAAGAAGATGGAGAAACGAAGGAGGAAGTTTCAGAAAGTAGAGGGGAAACAGATGAAAAGAAAGAAGAAGTTGAAGAGAAACTCGAGGAAAGAAAAGAAGAACCTGAAGTTGTAACAAAAGATGCTAAAGAAGATAAAGCAAATGATATTGAAGCAAAAGAAGAGATGGAAGATGAAGAAGAAGTTACAACTGAGGAGTCGAAAGAGGAACCCACAGCGGAGGAGGCTGATGCCGTGATAGTTGTTAAAGATAGTAATGAACTGACAAAAGTAACACAAAAAGAAGGACAGCAACTGCCAGATAAGTACTCTACACGCTTAGACAACATCTTAGACAAGTTAGAGGAAGACGAAGGAGAGTCAGCAGGCGAAGTAGGAGAACCATCAGTTCCTCAAGACGAAGAAAAACCCGAAGAGGGTGAAAAGCAGAGGGATGAAGAAACAACGACAGCTCAGGAAGAAGAGAAATCAGATGACGCTGAGGAAACAGCCACAAAAGTGGAGGAGAAAGAAACGGAAGAAAAGAACGACGAAGACAAGGACAGTGAACAGACTGAAAACAAAACTGAATTAGAAGATGAACAGACTTTAGATGCAGATGAAAAGATTCCCATACCAAATGGCGATGTGTTAGTTCAACCCGTGAAGAACCGAAACAAAGAACCGTCCAATCATTCTAAAGAGAAATCAGAAACTACAGATGTAAGTTAGTTGCATGTAAATTTTTACAAGTCTATAGGTTTCTTTCATTGGAACGCTTTTTTTTAAGCTTGTTGTAAAACCTTTGCAGTCGTCCTTGTAATGTCACGCAATGCTCTCAGGAGCGTTGCATGACATCCGGAAGAAGGTCTGTAGAGGAGTCTCGTTGTGTGTTCTTTTGCTTACTAGGATTAGATCCAGGGATAGAGATATCTTACTCAGGCTGTTTCCCCGAGTCGTGCCTTTAAAGTATGAATTACCGTATTTTTTAATGGCAGGGGGGGTTAGCTTCCGTTGAATTTTTAATTATTACAATTTAGGGCGTGGAGGAGAAAAGTTTCAAAACATTAAAAAGGATTCGTAAGTATGAAAAAGATGGCAAGATAGTGACGGAGACGACATCACGAGTTGTAGATGTGAGTCAGGATGACTACAGGAATGCACTGATGAAAGAACAGCAACAAAGGTACTACTGTAAGCCGGCAAAGTGAAAAACATGAACATTCTAAAACAAGTGTTACTGATAGTTAAAGATTTGCCGCAAATTTCGCAAGGAGTACTCGTGATGGATATACCCAAGGAAGCTTAAACTTCAAGGAAGCTTAGCATATATTTTTTTGCTAGCCAGTTTGTAATCTGTTTCTGGGAACTCGTAGCCAAGGTGACATGGTGGGCTGGTTTGTAGGGAAATTGACTTTTGGGCGAATTGATGTAGAGGGAGTTTACTTTAAGGCGAGCTGATCGTAGGCGAGACTACTTGAGGGCGAGTTTTCTTGAAGGCGAGAACTACTAATGTTTCTTTCATGTCTTTTCCTAGAAAAGTGAATCTTCGTGAAATGAAGATCCTCCAACGCGAGGAACAGAAACAAGGAATTATACTTATGGCCAAAATTCGCCGTCAGTGGGAAGCTCAGGAACAACGATTTGAACAGGAGCTGCAGGTGCCATATGACTGATCCTTTAGATGATAGAACTGCTACGATTGGTCAATCTTAATTGATACGTTTTCCACACACGTAATGTTTTCTTTGTTGAGAGCAAGAGATTACTTTTTGTGGGGAGCATTCCAGATTTACCAGAATTTCTCGTCTTTGTAGGAATTGGTAAAGAAATTTGAGGTAGATTTGGACACTTCAAGCAGGAATCAAAAGAAAGACATAGAAAAACTAGAAATTGCGCAGAATGCTGACCTTCGCACTTCCTCACGCAAGATGAAACAAGACCAGGTAACTTTTGGGATTCATTCTTTTAGCTCTTGTGTTTCAATCACAACCGTTTTAGGTTGAGAAGTTGAAGTCTTCTATCAAGCTTTTCAGTTGAGACTTGGTAACTCCTGGGAGTAGTCATTGCTAGATTTTTCCGCGCCTATAAGGGAAGGAAAGGAAAGGGAACGTGGCGACTGATTTCCGTCTTGTGGCACGATCTCTCCCACTTTTTGCCGTCTTTCACTTTTACGCATTCATTTTTTTTTCCTTATCCGATGTATCAATATTATATTTTTTGCCTATTGCGAGCTTAACGACCGGCAACTAAAGCCAGCATTCGACTTCAATAAGCCGGAACTGCGATCGTTACCAATGCTTTATCAACCGTTTCAACATGGTGCGATACTGGTTGAAAAGTTGATCGATCAAATCAACCAGAAACTGTTCTCTTCCTCAAGAGAACACGGAAGCCCCGGACATCCTGGCAGTTGATCTAAAGAAAACTCGACCTTAGTCCGAACCCCTTATGAAGCGTCACACAACTATGAAAACCTTAAACGTGTATCGTGACAATTGGAGAAGCGACGAGCGGTTACACCTATGTCTCACATTCACTGTTTTCTTATTTTCAGGAAAAAGACCTCAAGAAATTCAGAGAGAATCTCAAAGAGGAACTCAAATTTGCCAAGAAAGAGGTTTGAAAACTGAAGTAGTCTTTTACTGAGTCGTGGAAGGGAAAGGAACATCTTGAAATAACTGTTATGATAAAGATTTCGAATGTTGTTTCTCATTTATAACTGTTTTAAAAAACACTCATAAATGAGAAACAAAAGTGGGTTTTTTGTACTCTATATACTGAAGAAATAGTTACCGTGGTAGCAAACCTGTTTTTTCTGTAGGAAAGACTCTCTTTGGTCAATTGTGTCGCGCTTTTTTGCAACCTAGGTTTGAAGAAATGTCTTGGTTATATAGATGGTTATTCCCTTTATTTCATGATTCTGTTTAAGGTGGATCAACTGCCAAGGAATTTAAGGAAGGAGAGTTGGCGAAAGAAGAGAGATGAAGTAGAAGTCTCACAGCGGCAAGCTGTAAGTACGACACTTACTAAAGAAATTCAATGGACTTAAATACAGTATCAATAGAAAATTTTCCTTTGTAAAAATTGTCCAGAGTTTCTCTCCCACAGTTGCCAGTTTCAATAGCTGTCAACTATCTTTTTCAAATTAAGGATATCATTCTAAAATGTTCTTCAAGAATTTTTAGTTCGCACCTTAAGATTATATTTTCGTTTTGAAAATGATAAAGATTTCAGCCAGCTATTGACTCTGGCAGCTGTAGGAAAGAAACTGGGTTGTGTTAGAAGAACAATTTGGCATTAAGCAGTAAGTAAACTTTAGAAGAATTCTCAACTTATTTGATATTGAGATTAATCCTATAGTTTCCATTTGGGTAAGGGGTAGCGATGCAAGTCCTTACATAAAGCAGCATTATTCCAGGGTTAGGGAGGTAACGCGTGACAGTTGTGATGGTTGTGTTTTCTCTCTTTCCTCCAATCGTCGCTAATTGTAATCATTCTGTCTTTAGGAACACGAATTTCTAGCCATGCAACAGGCGGAGTTTGAGAGATTCACGAAAGAGCTGGTTGAATTACATCGTGAGAAGATGTACGCCATGGAAATGCAATTCCTAAAGGCGAAACACACCCTCAAGAGAGGTACATTTCTTGTCTTTTTTTAAGCGTCATTAGAGCACAACTCGTTCGTCAGTTTCAAATGCGATTATGATCCCTTCTTAAATGTGTTTCTAGTTTTGACTCTTCTTCCGATTGTTCCATGACTCGGTAATAAATTTGTTCTGTCACTTGTGCTGTAACCTACGCGTTGCTGTTCATGCTTAACCAAAACTTTGTTGTTGTTGTTGTTGTTGTTGTTTTATGTAGAAGGAGAAACCTTTATTTGTTACACATTTTCTATTAATTGTGGAGAACTCTCCAAGTTCTGAAGCAAACAAATACTCTTAGTTTTTTGAGGGTACGATCAATTTCTGTATTGAGGCCCTGTGAATTAAGCATTGGGGATCATGTTGATTTGTTTGCAGATCACGAGGGAGATTCGTGGAAGATTGAGCAGCGACAACTGCAGGACAGACATCAGTTGGCCAGAACACAACTGAAGGAGACTTTCTTCCTACAGCGATCACAGATGCTGAACAGACATCAGAAGGTCAGAGAATTTACACAGTTTTGTAATTCGAGTTTTCCTCTTGTAAATGGTGTAGAACAATGCTTCAAAGAATATCTTTTGTTTATAGCGTTCAGTGTAAAATGCTATAGGAATGGTATTATAAGGGAGCCCAGTCATTTTCATCAACCCGAGCTATGACCACCAACGAACCAATCAGAACGAACTAACGTTACCAACTGATCAAAACAACTTACAACTAACTGACACTACCCAAGTCTTACAGCTGGTAACATCACAGCGAAAATGACCAATCAACTTGACTCTGATGATGACTTTCACTTGGGCTGTCGAAAGGTCAGTCCCTCTCACCGACAACAGTTCTTTTTTAGTTACTCACGCCAGGAGTATTAGACTATCCGGTCAACTACTGTGCCTGGTTTGAAAACAGTTACTGTATGTATGATCTTTCGGAATTTATTGCAGGAAGTGGAGCAACACAATCGTCTAACCAAACTTAAGGAAGAGGAAATGAAGAGACGTCATGAGATCGAACGGAAACGGCTTCCCAAGATACAACGGGAAGAAATCAAGTCTAAGACACAGCAGTACCGCAAGTCTTTGAGGATAGACAAGAGATATTCAATGGATATTGAGCGAGAATTAATGAAAGAGGTACCATGATCAGTCATTGTTAAAAGACTGACATCATTTCAGTTATTTACAGATAATGTCACGTGATCTTATTGAAATGACGGCTTCTTATTCACAATAGGAAACAAATGAAAAGCGGTGGAATTAGTTATTTTTTTTCTCTTCCCTTTTTTCAGTTTGAATTGCAGGAACGTAAAAAGGCTCGATCAGAGTATGATAAATTGATTTTCCGACAAGAAATGGAGGTAGAGGAGCTGCGCGTCTCCTCTGAATCTGCTCTCAAAGAGTTGCTACTGTTACAGGTGAGCTGTTTGTCACCTTCTATGTTATCTTGCTCACGAAAAGTGAACACGAACTGGTAGGCGGTATCACTTCTTCGAAAGGAAAGCAATTATCCTGGAAATTCTTCCCTGTGAAGAACAAATTTAGCATGTGTAGATGGGTTTTTATGGGTAGTTATCACGGAGGAAGTTTTGAAACATTGAATGGAAATTGTTTTCCAGTATTGATTGGTATTCTTTTCCGATATTTTTTTAAGCGCAAAAACTTTTCTTTACGGATGCAGTTGAATAATGGAAGATTTGTCAAATATTTAAGGATGAAGACTAGCGATACGAATACATCTTGTTTCGACGATTACATGGATTTTTCAATAGTGTCGTTGCAGAGGAGTTTTTTTTTTCTTGTGTCGCTCAAGTTTATTTTTAATTTGATTTGCAAGGAGCACCTAATGGTGTAAATGCGGCTTAAGGACAAAAATTAACTCTCACATGGCATACAAATTTAGGACGCTTTTCGATTCAATGTCTTAAAACCAATTTGCAAATCAATGGTGCTGAGAGCTGTGCATGTTATTTTCTCCAATAGAAAAAGGTAATAGGATAATGTATGATGAACTGTTGATTGCTCATAACACTGCAGATGGTCATTAGGAGTAATTTTAATCTGACTGTTTGAAGTAATTCAGGATTGCATACTTCATATGACTAGTCGCGCCAATGTTGACTTGTAGGATACAAAACCTGCGTCTCCAACGGTTTATTTATTTTTATTTTGGGTTCTCCTTGGTTTGTTATCCTCGAATCTTTTTTATTGATTAGCCTTGGCATTACTTTGGTTTTGGTTGCTGTACATTTAATCTTAATGCTTTTCAGTCCTTCTGGGCCAGGGTGGAAACGGTAAACAAGTAATAGAAACTGATTTAAGATTAAAAAGGGATTTCGTATGATTGATTGGTTTTGCAGAATGAGAAGCGTCACATGTTAATGGAAAGCGAAACTATGAAGTTAAAAGAACGAGACGAAAAGCATCAAACCCAGTTAGAATCCTGGAAAGCTGAACTTGGTCCACGAAAGAAGGTAAGGCGTTCCTAAGTCATTCTGGCAGTATACACTTGGCAAATTATAGAAAACGGGGTACTCTTTAAGTGTTTATGGTGAATTTTTAAGAGACAGGGACGATTTGGTTTGAAAAAATATTTCACTTTGGACGTCAGGTTTCTCTGAGTTTTAAAGAGAAGTACGTAACCTTATGAAATTTTGCTGTGTTCATCTTCGAGTATTTTCTGAGAAAGCTTTTCCTAGCTCTTATTAAGGTGGATTTTGTTCAGTCCTACCATTGACACAATATTTTTTCGTTTTCTTTCACCAGATTCTCGAAGAGGAATTCGCGCGCGAGGAACGTGAACAGCAACTTTTTTATGCCGGAAATATAAGCGATTACCCAATCTCCCCGGTAACGTCGAATAAGGAATCAGAAGAGGAGCCTGGGGAGATCCAAATGGATGGAGAGAAAACGCCAGAGGACAATCTTTCTAGTAAATCATCATCCGGATCTACTTAGTTCAATGTTGTCTTTATAGTTTCTGTACAGTTATTGTTCAGTGTAATAGTGTTTTTATTGTTTAAAAGGTAGATACGCACGTTATATTTGTGACATGTGTTAGACAATTCCCTGCTGAAAAAAAAATTTACCAGGGATTAATAATTTGCCAGACAGGAAACCGAAATAGTTCAATTGAACGTTTGGTTGGGTGATAGTCATTCGTTTATGAATCTCGGAAGTCGGGAAATTAGCTTAGATACGAAAACAGCGATTTAAAACTGAGCAGTGATTGACTCTTGTTGATATTAAGTTGTCGCCTAGAGGGCTTTTTCCAAAGAGGATACTGAATATTTCGACAGTTTTATAGCGCGCTCTGGGTTCTTATATTAAAAATTGGAAATATTGTCCTTGATGTTAAGTTTAACCAGTCGGCCAGTCGTGCAGACATTTGTCACAACAGTTGAATGGCAAGGGTAGTACTGAGCCAATCAGAATTCTTGAGACATTCCACTTGTCCACACTTGTGCAAAACGTTACAATTACGATTCTTGAAGGTTTTACTTTTCGTGGAATGTGGGTGAGAACTTGAACGAGTTACCATAAAAACTTATCTGAAATTGAAGAACCAGTTTCTAAAATATGTGTTTACTCAACATTTATATGATGCGACAGATCGTGCCTCTTTGAATGCAATTGATAGATTTGAGTCAAACGTTCGTGTCTTCTCAAAAATTATCGGTTTGACATGCATTCTTTTTTTTCCAAGTGGAAATGACAGGTCATGTGCCTAGGTACTATTGCAAACTTTTCGGAGACTGGTCCTCCAAACACTGAAATGATTCCTATAGACTGAATTGAAAAATGTAGCCTTTTTAAATTTATCAATAGTTTAAAACGCGAAAGGAATATCTCTTTTGATAAGTTTTACCCTCCGCTACTTTTATTTCATGTGTGTTGTGTTAATATCATTCATTGGATTTGTCTTTTGCTCAAATATATTCTTTGGTTTTTCTTCCTTTTAATGTGCTGTAACGTGCAAACCTTCTTTTTAAGGTCAAACAAGTCTGGTCGTATACATTTTGAGAACATTTGTAAGGCTTATAAATATATTCTCTTGACAGAATTGGCTTTTATGAGATGCTTTTCTTTCGCAGTGAGTCTTATCTTGGTTTAGTCCAGTATTTGCTCTTTGAAACGTTATAATTCCCGTAGTAATGTCGCTGATAGTATTAGGTTCTTTATGTTCTTCATCGAATCGATGATAAGTTCATTTCTTGAAGGGAATCATGTTTGGCTCGATGGCGGACTTCTTTTCTTGTTATTCATAACTTCACGGCCTGTGAAATTTTGCCATACATTTCCTGTTTACTTTGACCTTTTTCAGACGTCAGTCCAAGCACATCTCCCTCTTCAGTCTTAAGAATCCTTACTGCGATACTCGTAATGGCTTCTAGTAACATGTGGCCATCTCCCACGAAAGAGGTGTCGTAAAACGATCTTCGCTTTCTATGAATATCTTAATTTCGAAATGCTGTCTATTTATGAGTGCAGTCCCCTTTAATTATAGTTTGTCCTACATAATTTAGGTTGCATAAACCATAGTTAAAAATTTGTTAAAGTAATCCCCTCTAGCAGAGCTGTGCTCGCTTAGATTTTCAAATGTAACGGGAAATTAAGAAAACAAGATAAATATTTGAAATAGTCGAATAAAAATTATAATTATGATCTGTTCGTTGTAGTCTTTTTTATCACGGTAGTTTTTAGAACGGCTGAGTTAGTCCTTGCACTGCCATGTTGGTAGGAAGGTTTGCGAAAATGAAGGAAAGTTGGTGAGGGTCTCAGTATTTGAGGAGATTTGAGGACGATATCAGAAGGCTTTACACAGTGTAGGTTATTAATTTCGCATTGCATGGAGGGATTTCTTACGAGAACGAGATAGACTGGGGTCGACGAGTCACAAATGGCGGGCAAACCGTCGAACGACGCAAACCTGTTAGGAATCACCTCAGAATGGTTCCTAGACTATTGTACTTATCAGCTTTGGAAGGAATTCAAAGAAAAACACTCATTTTCTGGCTTCTGGAGAAACGCTCTACAGGGTAAGTTTTGTCAATAATTCAGTGCAGAATTCCTTCATCGAAGGTAACTTTACCTTGTTGGTAAACTTAAATTTTGTCTCTGTTTACAAACTGACACGTGCTTACTTTGTACAGATTACTTGTTAAGTGGTCGACACTCTGAAGTAGGGAAAGAACTCTCAGATAAGCTCAATTGCATCAGATTTATTATTGGATTGTGGGAGTGTCAAGAAGATGATGTTGGTGGAAGTCAGGAAAGTTCCCCTTCTGATGATGAAGGTGACTGTGAACAAACCGAAAAAGGGATGCTGGGACCGGAATGTCTGAAATTCTTCGAAAAAGTAACGTGCATCTTTCCGTTTTCTCAGGCTGAGCGGTCTCATATGAAAAGCAGTTTAAAGTTACAGGTAATGATTTTGTATCGTAGTTGAGCCACGATTAAATATCACTCGCGAAACAGGCTGTTCCTAGCTGAAAAGGTTGATGACGGCAGGTATCAGCCTAAGCTGATACTTACCGGCAGCTCGACCCTAATACCTAAAGTCACGAGAATAAAGGAAATGACCACCAACTAAAGAAGCTCTTGATTGTTAAAAAAAATTACCTTTGTCAGCTCCTTATGAAGTGTTTAGAGGACAGTATGGAAAATAAGCCTTCTGATGTTAGAGTGTATTAGAGATTCACAGTTCATTGAATTGCCAGCTTTGACATCTATCAAACTCAGAATGGTCAAGATAGTGGAGTGTTTATGAGCTTGAACCCTGCCTGTTTATCACTGAAATGTTTACAGCTTATTGGTATCATCTGTGAGCTAACTTACAACAAATGAAACTTTTAATTCAGAGCCACCTTAATTTTTTTATAATTTTTTGGTACCTCTCAATGTTATGAAAATATTTTTTATCATTTTCTATATAAATGAAAGTGGAAAAAAATAGGGGTCACTAAACTTTTTCTTTTAGCTACAGGGACCCACTAGGTTTTTATTAAGTGTTCATGCACTGCTAAGGAACCTAGCTCTAAAACACTACTGCCTAACTGAACAAGTGCTAACACTCAATTGCTTTTTATTCTGTGGCTACTGTTACAAACAAACTAATGGCATAGCCATGGGTACCAAAATGGGACCTAGATACATCAATCTTTTCATAAATTTTATCGAACACCAATTTTTCAGTCATTACAATAGCCCTAAAGTTTCTCAGACTTTGTTGTCTGCGTAGTGACGACTCTGATTTTTCTGAAAAAATTTTCCCCTTTTATTCATTTGTAACTAAAAATTACAAAACTTTTTTGAGCCATCCAACAGTAAGCTTTAGCCACTTGCCCATGTTGCCTTCTCTGCTTTTAAGTAATTTGGTACTTCACAGGAATTTTGACAGAGTTCATCAATTAATTGATTAATGATTGATTAAAACTTATCTCCTTTCCTCACAGATCATCCTATCATGTTACAGATGTGGTGACATTCAAAGTGCTGAAAACTTGTTTTCTAGATTGTACAGTGAGAATGGTTATGATGAAGTAAGTTACATGTAATTATTGCTACATTTTACCATTTACTGGATATACTACTCAATTTACTGTAGAAAAGTACAAGGCTAAACTATTCATCCAAGAAAAGTCTAACAGCCAAGGACATTCACAAATCCCCTTTGTGTTCAAAGTATATTCTAGTAAAAAAATCTGTCAATAGTAGTTGAGAGAGTACTTTTCCCATTTGTTGTAAGGGAATTTATGGGATCAATTGTAGGTTTATCTCAGTCAAATGGTGTGTTTTTTTATCATTTGTATATGTTTTTCTGTTGAAAGGTTGGCGTTCACACACATAGTTTTTTGGTTGAAGCCTTGTTTCTCACCAATATATGTGATAGTTCCTTTTTGAATTACTAAGTGGTGTTTCTCTTTGAGCTCCTGAAATAGTTGGCTGATGGGTTGATTAAGCAAGTTGGAAACATGGGGTGGAAATCAATTATATAGGCAGACACTGTTTTCGGAAATGAAAGTGTTTACATCTAACATACTTGGTGTTCTGTGAATGGATGGTAGTATCCTATTTAGCACAAATTGGGACAATATGTCTTTGAAAAAGTTGGAGTGATGTTTGTTACAGTCCAAAAAAATTTGAGCAACAAATTAACTTATGGGAAATTGATCCTAAAAGCAGTCCCTTAACTATTGTCAGTTTTTTATGAAAATCTTAAGTTGTATTTTTTATTGTCCCATTTAAAATCTGCTATCTCCGTAAAGACTATATAGAAGCTATGTTTAGTACATGATTTACAATACAGAGTTTTGTCTGATACTGTGGCAATAATTGTTTTGAGATATTGCTGTTAAATTTTTATTAATATAGACCCAGCCAAAGGTATGATTGATTTCTTTTTAACAGGAGTATCAAGATGACCTCAGGGAGTTATTTCAATCTGAAAATGATACGTTCATAGAAACATTCTTGGGAAAGCACACATATGAAAAGTTTCTCAACCAAGTTCAGAAGTTTTTTACCCCAGCATGGAAAAAGTTTGAAATTCCAGTTTTAGAAGAGGTAAAAAAATTAACTCCTATATCTTATACATTTTGCTGTACCTAGTTGTAAGGAATCATGGATATGAATCCTGAAAAAATCCAGATTTTTCTTGAGTACAGAATTCATCTTTTTGGGAGAACCCCTGACAACTGCTATTCTGCTCAGGCTATATCATTTTGAGTGCAACCTTGAGTGGAAAATGAAAATGATGGTTTGGAAAAAAGTGTGAAAAGTCTTAAATTTTGCACACTGATGTGTGTTTATGAATCCTGTGTGAAGCATTATTGCTAAGTGACCCTCCATCACCTTAAATATTTAGAACAATACTGTAGTGTACCAATGTTAAGCTTAGTTTTCTCTTTTCCCCTTTATAAGTGAATAGTATCATTATAGTAAGTTTTACTTTCAATTCTTGCTTATTTTAGGCACCTTTGCTGGAGAATGCAACCAAAGAAAGGTATTTCCTCCCATTTTAGGCCTTGGGCTTTGCTCTTTCACAGAGAGAAATCTCTGCAGACAAATATGAAAGTTGAAGTATATGTTTTAGGCCAAATGGAAGAAATTTTTAGGTATACATGTAGAGGTTATGCCATGCCTTCCATAAGTAGTTTCTAAACCTGAATGAAAAGACAGTTATCATATTTTTGAATTTAGGTTTTTCATAACACTTGGAAATTATTATAAATTCCTAGGTTTTTGTCATGTACCTCATCCTTTGGCTTTGGCAGTTAACATGAATTCAGACCTTGGTTATTCTTACTGTTTTGCTTAACCTTATCCAGTTAAAATTATTTTGTTGAATGATGATAAGAATATGCCAGTTGTGGTTGTCTCCATTTGATTTCATCTCAATTACTTGGCTAGATAGAGTTAATATGGTTGATCACTCTTACCCTGAGGCTTATATAATACTTCTTGAATACATGGAAGGTCAATTTTAACTAACAGGTCAAGGGGTGAGTAATAAATAGAAAGGAGACCACTAAACATGATGAAAATACACTGAATGATATAGAATAAGAAATATGGTTAATTCAAGCTCAGCTTAGCTGTCGAAAAACGATAGTTATCATTTGTCTGTGACCAGCGTAGGGAAAAAAATTCCATATCTTTCTTATGGGAAACCTCTATTCTTGATGCAAATGTTGCTTAAAAGGCTGTAAATATATTAAATATGCATGGATTCATACAATTGGAAGGATATGTCTCCCAAAAGAATCATGTCTGTGTTCCAAACATTTTGAGGACCATTGCTTCCATGAATCATACCTAATGGAAGAATGGATAGCTTTGTTTACAAGAGAATGACTGGATACACATTTGATAACAGAGGCCCAGCAACTATCACATGTCATTATCTCAGAGTGCTTTAGGCACCTAATAAGATGGCGGATGTGGAAAGTTCGAACTTGCTGTAAAGTGCAGTTTTGAAGGCTGAAAAAAATTTCACTAGTTTAGAGGAATAATTTTTAAGAACCAAATATCTTGTGTTTGATACATTTATAGCCTTTTGAGTTAAATGTTTGCTGTAAGAGTGGAGGTTCCCTTTAATGCCTATACACTCCTGTGACATTGATGACCCCAGCAGTATGCAAGAAGCTTGTTGTACATATTCATGTATATTTCTTAGCTTGCCAAAGATTTCTCTTTTGTTCAGTGGCAGAACGATAGACCACAAAAGCAGCAAGTCAGGGGCTTAATTCATCATGGTGTACTCAGATTTTTTTCTTTCATTGTTTGTGTAGAACAAAGAAAGTGAATGCTAATTGTCTTAGGTGATTAATCTGTGTTATAAGTGTAAGAATTGAATTTACTCTTACAGGCCCAGGATTGATGCAAAAACAATAAAAGCCCTTTACTTTGCTTGCGATACATCAGATGAAGTTGAAGAAAACTGGAAAAGTATTGTGGAAGGAACCCATCCTGATATTAGCATTTTGAAGAAAAAAATTGGTAGAGAAAAGATAAAAACAACACCTCCAATTTTACCTCAACAAGGGGTATGATAATGGCATTTTTGTTTAGACCAATGATATGTTAACTGTTAGATAATGCTAGTGAGAAACCCTTGTTTCATTGTTTGAGGCCAGAATACCATAATGATTGCTTTTATCTACCTGTGACATGTACAACAAAGGGATCTCAAACTCCAAAGTTTCCCCTGGGTTCTCATGTGGTTATGTCATGTGTGTTTATTTTTGCTTCTTCTTTAAGAAATTTGATAGTGTTTGAAACTAAGTCAATGTAATGCCCCCTTATCTTCAAAACAAATAACACAGAGTCAGTTTTGTATGGCCTGGGAAAGTAGAAATGCAATCAATACATAATTTTCTCAAATACAGCATGTTTTAAAAGTTAATTGTCTCTCAGCATGAAGAGTGAACCATTTGAGAAAAAATTGTCAAAATCTGCTGAGTTGCAAAACTAGAGTTGATGTCACCTATAACCTTGTTTTTGTCTAGTGTTCTTCTGTTTAAATTCAGAATATGCAGATATGAAAGTTACTGAGTTGAGCTTAAACATGAACAAAATATCTGGGTGGGTGTGGGGGGTGTTGGGGGCGGTGTGTGGGAAGGATGGGTTCCTAGCTCTTGAACTGACTTTATCTACTCTATCCCTTTACCTATGTGACAGGGGAAAGCATTCTTCATCAAATCTAACGTATTCTTTCTTCCCAAAGGTTACAAAAAGCAATGCAGAAGCAAGTAGCACAACTGCAGGGAGTAGTATGGTACACAGGATTCAGCAATGTCAAGTAGTAATCAATAATTTGAAACAATCTTCTAAAAACCTTTTGTAAGTGCTTCAAGCTTTCTTCTTTGTTAAATTCCTATTTTTTGGTAATAACCTTTACCACACATCTGAATGTGGAGAGTTGGTTTACAATTTTGCTGCAAATGAACTTTTCCTTATGGAAAAATGTGACAAGCATATTTTGTGGGGTATTGCAATGTTTTAACTTTGGACTTTTGTGTACCTCTAAGATTTGTAGGTTGAAAAATATATTCTTCAGAAAATATTGACAATTCTTATTAGATCCTAAAGTATACTTTAGGTTCTTGCTGCTACATATTAAAGAGTAAGCCCTCTGCTGCCTGATTGTCAAGGATTGGGCATGTTTTTGTTGAAAAACCTCAAGCTTTTGAAAAATCTATTAGAGTATTTCATGTATCTTCACTAGCACCCTCCCCTTGCAGAAGTTTTTGGTATGATTGGATTTAGACATGTATTTTTCATTGCATTTTACAAGAGGTTTACAAACGATGAGTGAAAATGGAAGGGATGAAAATTAAGTTTTTAATCAAGCTCATTCTTTTTGTACCAGAGTCAATCATCAAGCACCTATGTTACTATAGCTAAGATTCCACTGAAATTTGTTTGGTTGATTTTACTTCAAGGCTATGTTGTGCCTTATTTTTCAAAACATTTGAGTGAGTCTTGAGGTCTTACCTTCTGCCTTGAGGGGTGACAAAATGTTCATAGATTTCTACGGTTTTGTTTTCAACAGTTTTGTTTTCTATTTCAATGACTTTAGCTCTGGAGTAAGTAAACAGCACTCCTATAAGGTGGCAGCAAAAGCTGGGCCAAGCAGAGTTATCGATGACAAAAACAATGACAATGACAAGAATGATGATGATGGGGAGAGTGAGAGGCATTGCAAGACCATTGTTGCTCTACCAGTCAGGTAGAAAGGATTTTCTCTAGCAGTGTTATTAGCCTTCATTTGCTTAAAGTAGAGATGTTTGTTGATTACCATTGATAACAAAGTTTTAGGATACCTCCCGTTTGGGGTTTTATTTTTAAAAGAGCTTGGTTACATTTTGTACAAACATTTACCAAAAGTGGTTTGATAAAAAAATCAAAGTTCTGTAGTTTCATTGCTCCAAAATCTAAGGATTGACAGGAATTTTCATTTTAAGTATAGTAACAATGCTGGTAAGCATCATAGCTAAAATTGGTAATGAATTTAATTGTTCTGGTACTGAATATGGAATTTTCTAAAATGTTACAAATGAGCTGAAGGTTAGAAGAAGTAAAAAGGCACTAAGCTTACAAAAAGGCCACCTCTTGGATCTGGCATACATCTCTAACATTGAGCTTTCCTTTTCTATGAATATTTCAATAACTCTATAACAAATATGGTGAAGAGGGAGAATAGGGTTTATTGAAATGTTCTTCCAGTTAACAAGTTTGCAGAGAGCTCAGTATTACAGGGATTGATTTTTTAAATAAGTACTTTGATTTGAGTATTTGATAGCTTGTTTTTGAGCAAAGGGCATCCTCTTATGAGTTATGGCCCTTAGGGACTTGGATTCATCTGGGAGTGTGGATTTGATGTGGTTTGATCAATGAAGACTCTGAATATTAAAATTGTTAATTCATGAATAGTAATGATATTATTTTGTCATTGTTGACCTAGCATATCTAGCCCTAGTGGAAGTAATCAACACAAAAGAGAGAGGAAATCTTTAGAAAAACGGACAATAAAGAGAAGGTATAATGAAAATCATAGTGATGCTGAAGAAATAGATTGGGCCTCAGACGACGAGGAAACAGTGTTTAAGCACAAATCAATTAGTAAGTCTTATAGCTGGGTATATCACTCTGAACAATTTAAAGTGTTCTAGCTAGATTAGTTTGATGAAACAGTCTCTCAAGCGATTGAAAAGGTTTTTTTATTGTGCAAAAAGTTATCAATAATAATTAAGAATTAATTCAATTAATTAATTCATTATCTATCATATTGTTCCATGGAAGAGGGCTTTTTTTCCAATCACATTTGTGGGAGGGAGGATGGGAGCAGAGTATTTTAAAACTTGACTTGAAGTGGTATATAATTGTTGTATGATCACGATTAGCTCTACTCTTTGGAGGCCTATTTTTTAAATTGCCTTTTAGGAAATTTTTACTGACCGAATCCCCTCTTGAAAAAAAAAAAATGATAAATCAGCATTTAAGAGTCATTATTGTAGAGATATCATCTCCTTCCATTAGCTCCTACCTTGATTCAGTATAATGGTTCTTAAAATTAAAACAGAAATGAAATTTTTTATACCAACTGGGTCACTGCATCAGTCAATCAGAATATCATTCTGTGATACATATAAATCTGTGAAGTATAGGGTAACTTTTGATGTCAGTCATGGAGGGTGGGAGGGTTAATGTAAGGGAGAAATAACCTTTAAAACTAAGAGGAGATTTTTATCTGTGATGGTGGCTGTACAGTACAAAAGGTGCTTCAAACGCTTTCAGAAACATGATCTGAAATGATTTTCTTGTGCAGCACTTCCTTCCCCGGCTAAACCACGACATCTCAATATCAAGCTCCCTGTTGGTTCAGCAAAGAAGTTTTGGAGCGCTGATGAAACAAGATGGTTAGAAGAGGGTGTGGAACTATATGGCACAGGGAACTGGGCAAAGATACTGAAAAAGTATAACTTTGTTGGGCGAACATCAGTTAATCTCAAGGATAAGTGGCGTAATTTAAAAAAGAACAGTTGATAATGAGCATGTGGATGAATGAGATGGATAGTTTAATGTTTCTGTCTGTGATGTATATAGTAATTTTTGTATATTTATGGAAATTCCTTGCCATCAATATTTCTTTAAAAAAAAAAAAAAAAAAGGAATCTTTATATTTATATTTTATCAGACTATTTTGTGGAACTTTTAGTATGCTAGCTAGCACAAAAATCTCCAGGCTTTTTCAAATTCATCTTTAAATAAATTTACATTTGAACCTCTCCCATATATATATATATATATATATATATATATATATATATATATATATATATATATATATATATATATATATATATATATATATATATATAATTATACCCATTTTCAAAAACATTCTAGTTTGAAAATATATTTGAAATATATATATGTATCTTTTGTTTTCTCATCAAGAAAGGTGATGAACAATGCAGGTATATTTCACATCAAGGGAACAATATCTTTTTTGTTATAGTTTGATAATTGCTGTGCCTACTAACATTGTCTTACACCAGTCTTTGCACGGTGCCGTCAAGTTCAGTAAGAAACCGAAATCTCAATGCAATCACAAGAATTTAAATATATGTATAATATATAGATCTAGAGAGAGTACTGTTGGTTTATTCAGCACTATCTTTGCTGTTGTATGACTGCTTAATTATAGCCATAAAAGTCAAACATAAGTGAAAAAGTAGGTTCTACAGTATATAATCTCACCAAGAAATGGCAAGAACAATAATGCAATTTATCCATATCTGGTTTACAACAGTATGCCTTAGAGTGACACTGTTTTGTGTGTACATCTGGAAGAGTTGAACAAATGCTGCTTTTCTTAAATTGTTGTTTTGTTATTATTATTGAATATGCAACAAAGCCTTTGTGAAATTTCCAAGTTAATGCGTTGTCTACTATGTTATTCACCACCAACTTATTTCGAAAGAGAAATGGTTAAAGATCACTGGTTCATAATTTATGCAATCATACAGGTATTTCACTGGAAAACTTGTCTACTTGACTTCAGTTAAATTGTAGTCCCACTTTTTCACCTGCATATATTGGATAACTTGATCTACATAATACATCTAAGCAAATGGGCACTTAAAGCAAAAGAATCGTACAAAGGAGAAACAAAGTCTTTGGAAATTTTGACTATTGTACTATCCTTTTGAAAAATTGTCCCTTTAATTGATTCTGTTAACACCTTTTTTATGAGAAAATGGGTATATATATATATATATATATATTATTATATATAATTATTATATATAATTATATATATTTTTATCTATGTAATGATTTTTGAAATTTTGATTTGAGTTTCCATTATCAAATTTCAATGAATGTGTGACAAGCAATACCTGATCAAGCATGCAGGAATTTGGTTTTTTATTTATTTTACAAGCGGCAACAAATAAGAGAGTGAATTCCTAAATGATTGACAGTTATTTAATAGTCTCTTTTTATATGGTTTTTCTTATTGAAATGGAAAACACTCATTAGAAAGTCTAGACATTGATGTTTTAAGGTGTAAACAGCAGTTGAAGGTTGCTTGGCCTTTTCCCAAATATTTACAGAAAATTGTTTGTTTTTAGAATATAGTGGAACATTGTTAAGCCGCCATTTTCCAATTGATTTGTTGAGGTTAAGGTATGCTCAATGCAGTTGCATATGCTTTCCAGTAATAGTGAGCTCTCCTTCATAGATTTTTTTAATACCCTCTTTCTTAGGCTGAACTTATTTTGACTGACAGCAAGTCTGATGATTTGAGATTTATAGGTAACTTGAATGAACAGGGTGGAGAGTGAACGAAACTGCCAAAATGAACGAAGCTTGACTGGGGATGCTGATTTTAGTTTTAATTATATTCATCAACTACACGGAATATTAACAGAGGTTGTAATAAATTTATTGGTGATATTGTGTTCCATATGTAAAACTTTTTTATATTGAATAGAATGTTTATTTTCTTGTGCATCTTGTAACCTACTGAGGTGATATCAGTAATCATCAGAGTGTATAATATCTTGTTTTATCATAGTCAATTTTTTAGATTTGATTTTTTTGTTGGTAGTTTTGATAATTTTTGTAATTTTCAAAAATACATAGGCTAGATGTTCTGTAGTGTGATATCTGAAGTCATTGCTTGAAGGTTAAGTTATTTTCTCCTATTTTTTCCATTCTCATCTACCCACCAAACATACATGTATTTTGCACCCAATTAGCAACTTACCAATAAAAATTTTGACCAGGTTACACTAAGAGTCTCAAAGAAACCATCCCACTTCTTGGTGGTTTCAAGGCCTGCCTTCACCCTTTAACTCCCACAATCTGATTGTTAATTCTCCCCTCTAGCTGCCACACATTTTCTCATAACTTAGTTGTGAGAATTTGATATTATATCAAGATAACAACCTCTACCTGATAAGTTTAAGTATTTTTATAACCTTTTTGCTGGATAATGTATAGCTATTACAGGGAGAAGCAACATGTTAATCACTTTTGGGAGTTAAAAGAATCATTTACTCTTGGTTTCTTTGAGAGCTGGACTCTGAAATTTTAGATTGGACTAAGAAATCATATGTTTTGCTTTTATTGATTTGAAGTGTACTGTAAATGTTAGGGCTACTAGGCAAGTAGATACACTTTTTTTTCTTAATAGTGTAAGGTGTTGCTATTAGATTTTGGCAAGGTCTGAACCTTTTCCTTCCTCCCCCTTCAAAGCAAAGTTCAGCCAAGCAAGTGGCAAGGTTGCTAGTAACAGGGAAATGGTAACAAAACAAAGCCTTGTGGAGCAGTTGAACAGAAGAGTGGCAAGTTTTTGCCAGAGCAGTGTTAATGAAGTGCAAGGATTAATCTGGAATTGCTTGGAAGTCAGTTTAATTTTACTCTGTGATTGCCTGAGCAAAGGTGAACAACTGAATGTGAAAGATTTGGGGCAAAAGACCTCCCTGCTGAAGTACTCATTGGCCAATTATATGCAAGGCAATAGTCTGTCAGCTAACTCAGCTAAAATGCAATTGGCATTTTAAAAAAGACTACACATTTCATAGAGCAGTATTCAACTAGAAAAGTAAAGTCAGTTTGTGTTAGTAAATGGAAATTTGAGAATGTGATAATAGAAGGTTGGCATGTGTATCCATTATAAGTAAAATTTGTTGTAATGACAGAATTTAGGTTTAATTAAGCACCTCGTGCAATGCTCACTCTTTTAACTAATGGTAAGAATTTTTCATTTTCCGCCTTTCCTTTGGAATTGATGACAATGAAAAAATGTTGAATTTCAAAGTGTTAGATATGCTTACCAAAGCAGATTCAATTCTCAGTTATAATGTTCTGCATTCCATGAGGAATGAAAGGTTATTTGCCTTCAAGGTTCCTTTGTAGACATTTGACAGGAGGGAATTTTAAGTTAGCTTGACGAACTTTGACTTCAAACAGGAAATGGCTTATCTTAATAAGCACTCACAGAGCTGAATTTTGGATGGGGTCCATGAATTCTATTCAAATCCTTAATTAAGGTTTGGTAGAAGTTTGTATTGTTTCTATTTTTTGGCTTTTATGTCAATCTTGACACCTTGAACAGCTAAAATTGTCTGTCTGGGTGAGAAAACTACGCAATGGTCTTGCAAGTCTGGACATGTTAAAATGACACTAGTGACAGTTTATAATTTAAATACTGTCATGACTATGATAAAAAAATATTAAGTTACACTGGGGAGGAGAATGGACTGAAGTTGATTGACATGGAGCCATTAAAGTAAGAGAGAGTTAAAGAGAAAGAGGAGTACGAGCATGAATATTGTGCATTGATAAGAATCGACTGCACAAAATATCTCACTATTGGTTATGACTTTTTCAGATTTGGGTGGCCCTGAATAGGGCCGGTGTGTTGTCGTTGTTGTCTTGTCTGAATAATTGTGTCGCAGTCTTCTTTCTTCAGTCTTGCTGGCTTCAGTCTTTGATTTCTTGTAGTTGTGAGTTTTTAGCTATGGGTGTCCAAGCAGTCCAGTATTTTTGTCTTTGGTTCAAGATCTAGCGAAGGAGATGAATCCATTTGTTGGCACTTCACACTTCCTCTACGTGGAAATACGTCGATCAGTTCTTTCTTCTCTTCAATCAGTCTGTTGTTGAGCGAGTCTTACAAGTCCTATCATATCTATTTTTGTTTCGTCAACTTTCCAGTTTAAAATATCCGATTTTCCTTACTTACTACTTAACATATTATCACTACTTTCTGCACCATCCTAAGGTTGAAACGTTCCAAAACCTAACGAAAATTTTTACTTTCTACCTGTGTCAGAAAGGCTAAGAAAAAATTCATTTGAGTCGATCAGACATGAACAAATTACCAAAATTGAAACAAAGCAAAATGAATTTTACACGTCAATATAGCTAAGATGTTGTAAACTCGAAACTAAAACAATTTAAAAATTAGAACGTATGATAAATTTTCTCTTATTTACAAATATACAAATTTGTACAAAATCTACAAATTTGCTATGACGTCTCGGTCTTGATATATACACTAGAATAGCTTTTACTTTCGTTAGCCGTCTTTGTCTTTGAGAAAGCTCACTATGACTCTACTCGAAGCAGCATTCTAAGATGTTGCGACATCGCCGCAAAATCTCCGTCGAGATTGTGGATGGGAGACGATATCCAGTGTGATGGCGGTTTGGGAAGAACACTTGGATGAGGTGGACTGCTAAATTTTGGCCCCGCATATGGAATGAGCGCCGTGTCGCTACTGTTTTCGCTTCGTCGTCGACGTGGTATGTTGACAGTAGTCGCGAGTCCTGAATCTAATACAACGGAAGCAGGCTCCTGAACTGATTTCACTTTAACGGAACGGTCGTTCCGAAATCTTGTGTTCTTCTTCGAGTTATTTTTGTGATGGATGCTGTCTTTATTCGGTGAAATGCGATCGCTTTGTGTCACTTGTGTCCCGAACGTCATCTTCACTTTATAGCTCTGTTTCCCTTACGAATCGCAATGCTGCTAATCGTCAACTTATCTCTTCTCGTAAGTTTTACTCCACTCTAAGGTCCAATCTCCTTTAACCAAACTATTCTTACAGTTTTGTGCACAGCAATAGGAAGAACGTTATGGCCTTTCCGTAGAACCTTCCTTTCAATTTTACCCACTAGATTGAAATGGTACTGACGAGTGTTGAAAATTTATTCCTTCGCGGAAAGCCAATCAGCGAAATTTGGACGTCAGAATTGTCATAGCAACAGCCAATCAGAGCCCTAAAGATCTCCACACCCTGATCATGTGAAGTAGAATGACGTTAGAGAAGGAAAATCTAATTTTAGAAAAGGGACTTTTTGTTTGTCTTTCGGTTTTGTTTTGTAAAGCTGGAAACTTTATCATCATCTTGCTTGGGCAATATTTAGATTGTGAGAAGAGTACAGGAAATGCTTCATGCTTTTAGAATCATTACAATCAGAGGCGACAGCCTTGGGCGATCGTAAATTAGATACTGTGCCGATGTGCATCTGGGCACGCAAGTGTTGTTCGATTAGTCTTCAGGCTTCAAAGCCAGAAAAGTAGGAGATTGTCTGAAACTTTGTCGCGAGTGCTGTAGTACTTCCTATCAATCTCAATCTAAAATGATTCATTTCTGTAGAATTATCAGCGTCGTTCCGCAATCTGTTTTGATTTCAAAGCCCAGAAGTTGGTTATTTCCTGAAAAGGAAGGGAGACAGGCAGATGTCACGCGCCAATCATAATCGGCCCGGAGAAACAAAGGGCTTTTCTAAATGTGCCAAAACAACCCTAATCTGGATGTATGCCTCGCTTTTTGCATTATTCATACCTTTCACTGTGAGCGCTTTCTATGTTAATTGTGATAATATTTCGTTGTGGAAAATTCTATAAAGATCGAGAATCTTCTCAGTCCTCGATCTCTACAAGTTTGCAAAACGCGGCCAAACAGTATAATTCCCTTAGAATTTGTAAATCTTTTTTTCTCCACACAATTAATCTATAATCCGAAAGCTCGAAACACGATTTTAGTAATACTTTGTTGAACCCAAAGCAAGCCTCAGTTCCATGAGCTCTTTCTCTTTGAGTCAATTTTCCGCCCCCCTTTGGACCGGAAGTGCGCTTAGAAAAATCCTTTTCCAATTCCAAAGTAGAACGCAGTAATATTGCATTATCTTGCTCTTCATTCAAATTTTCGCACTGAACATGTTTAAAGCAGCATACCAGAGAGATAAAACAACAAAGCTTTGGCGCCTCACACGTACTCCGGACGAAGATGAATTAATCCAAAATGACGCGAAGCTAAAATTACGAAGAGAACATCAAGCAAGATTGACTTTTCCCAACCAGTTAAAGGATCAGCATGTCATAAATAAATTTTGGTCCGAGTAAAGATCGTCAAGCACAACGAAAACTTGTTCGGATGTGAGAGTAGCTTGTTTGCGATCGAAAGGACAATATCGAATGCAAGTGATTATGCATTCAGTGGGCTGGGGCTTCGAGAAGTGTCAAGTGACGTCACAATATGACTGACTATGATGTCAAATGTCAACAAAGACTAGGGGAGGTTTTCCATTGATCGATTTCACAAAGAACCGCAAACCCATGTGCAAGAAGTAGTTTATACTCGTAAATATAAATTCTTTTCCTCGCTTTTCCATTCCGATCTGAAACTTTTCAGGGCCAGTGATTGAAGAAGACCCGATCATTTCAGCTGGAAATCGTAAATTCAATCGTCGACCTTCGGCTGAAAACTAAGAACTGAACCTGAAGAGCAAACATTTAGGTAGGTTACACGGATGGATTTTAGGATCCTTTTGGTATGAGCCATATGTTGTTCTGTTGTTATTGCTTTCTAAAGCAATGTAGTAGAATGTCATCTCCATAAATTAAATGATATAGGTGATCTGGAATTACGTATAAATCCTTTGAAACTAACATTCCGGTTGCCTATTTCTGTTAACTATCTACAGCGATCGATCGAATTTTGAGCGGAAATGTTTTTATTTCTGAGATTCGTTAATAGGAAACAACCCTTTGGGCCGAAACAGCTGAGAGGGATATCGCAAGATTCATTGAACTTTCTACAGCAATAGGACTGGCAACAAAAAGGTTAAAACGATTGGGGCCAAAGTTTCGGAAACATAAAAAACGGTGAAACGCATCGGCTCGATAACCAATTCTTTGATCCTCGTGAGGAACAGCAAATTAACCGTACCCCAGTATCGAGAGGTGGGTTTGGTTCTAATCTTCAAACGTATTCGAGGAGCATCGTGATCTTGAAGAATGTTAAATTTGCTGTACTTGTTTACGTGTGAGTGAAGGCGAAAGATTGTGAATTTCGTCGGATGTTTGTTTCAAAGCTTCGACTATGTTTCTTTCCCTCCACCGGAGGGAATAAAGTCACGTTTTGACTGTATGTTTGTTCGCCCGCGAGGCAAAGCAGTAGAGTTTTGCCGTCAAGGGCGACTAGTTCAGTAGCGAATATTAGTTTCTATCTATCGATCAGCGAATAAGTTGATTGGTTATGTCTTAAGTTTGCCAAAGTTTGTTCAACTTGTACCAGCCAAGTCGTAGACTCTCCTCTAACATGGGTTGTTAATGAACAGTAGCTCAGTCACGGAACTGATGGCAAGGTAACAGCTAGTTCGTTGAAGGCGAAAAAGCTTCCTGCTCTTGGCAGTTTTGTCTTTTGCCGTTCCTATAACTGTTGCCTTTAAAAGAAACACCGCTCGATGAACTCCGATCGTGCAGAGACTGAACTTCTGAACGATAAGTTTGTGACAAAGTTGTTGGTGCTCAAACACGCCAATTTTGCGAAGATTTATCGAGGAAAGGCATAGGGGAGTGCTTTAGAGCAGGTATATTTTAATTTGTTTGCACTGATTCGGGAAAGTAAAAGAAGTGTAGTGATTCAAATGTTCCCCAATGAGTGAATCAACGATGTCTGGTTTTTCCAGTTCTGCCGAAGCTTTACCGAGGAAAACCATATGCAAATGTTCTGCTGTATTCCTGTGTTCAGCTGGGTCGATACAGGTACATTTCTTTGTCGCTTTCCTTGCACTCCGTAAACTTTGTTCCTCATATGATTTTTTTTTATTTTTGGTTTAATAAATTTATTTCCATCAGGATCAAGATTTGCGCTAATGCATGAACTATTTTTTAGTCCAAAAGTTTCCTTGCGGGGAGCGTTTCATGCTGTCGTCTTTCATGCATAAATTAGAGGTCAAAAGGGATTGTTTGAAATGACGTTGTGGTTCAGTCATTTTTGTTCTGACAATATCGCTTATTTGAGACGTTACGCGTTTATTGTGAAGTTTTGAAGCTAAATATTCTTCCCCTGTTATTTTGGTATTCCAAAAAACGATGTTTTATGCGAATCGTTGGTTGAAGATTCGAATAGTATCGTGCGAACGCGCATTCGTCACGCCTGGTCGCAACATCGGCAAATTAGCGGCAAAATCAAAAGAAGAACGAACTCCCTCGGCAATGAGACCTGTCGGCAAATATCACGACGAAAAATTCGAATCTTATCTGTTACTATAGAAGATTGCTTGGGAGCGTCACTAAAACCCAGCTTTTTCTCAAATGAGTGAGTTGAATTCATTCCTGTAGGTTGTCTGAGACGGAAAAATATGTACTAGATTTTTTTGGCCCCAGATTCTTTTAGTTTGTGGTTACATCAACCTATCACGTTTCAGTTTTTTGTCTGCGGTTCCACTTAGACAGATTACAGCCATGGGGTTTGCTCTAAGAAATGAATGCCCTTTACACTTTCCCACTCTTTATTACTCTTTTTTTGTTCTTCATAATGCTTTCTGCTCTGTGATTCATCTTATTGCTTCATAGAACAACTTTTCAAAGTGTCAGCTATGCAACTCTGACAATGCACAATTTTTCTTGTTTTTTGTTGTTGTTGTTGTTCTTGGGAAAGATTTTGGTTGTATCTTTTTTTGAAGTTCTGTGGTAAGTTTGGTGTTTGCAATTATTTTCTTTAGAATGGTACCCAAAAACATCTTGTGAATCCAGAGCTGTGGTTCTTTTCATACAATAGGTCTATATCACTATTACTTTGAAGAATCTGTGTACAACATAATTTCTTGTAATTATATGAAAGAAGCTAGAAGTAAAAGGAAAGAGGCATCTTTGCAGCTTGCAGCATTTCAATGTGCTTGACCAATCTCTCTGTGATATCCTCTACCTGGGATCCCAGATGGGATTGGTGGTTAATCCTGGCTGCCTCTTTACCTGGGTCTGGCAGTAGTCAAATAAATGGGTCTGATAATAATGGTGACATTAAGGGTGGTGGTGGACACAAGAGTGGGATACATTGCTGTGAGGCTATTGTTAAAATTGTTTAGGTGTATTTATTTTGCTGTCAGCATCTTGTAATATTGTGAAAATGGTTATGGTTTCCATGTTCAGCTGGAAGATAATAATTCCCCATTATGAAAAGCTATTATTTCTGATGTAATCTATCATAGAAGTGTAGAATTTTGTTGGTTTTAATTACCCAGACCAGTGGAGAACATTGCTTGATAGTGGAAGCTTGAGATAGCTGATGGTAAATAACTGAATAAATTTAATTTATTTTACCATGAAGAATTAGTTCCAGTGCTGAACATGATGGCGGAAAGCTTTAGCAACTTTTTTTTTCCATCAAAGGTTGGTTATGATATGGCCAGAGAATTGATTCCCAGCTTGCAACCACTTTCTCCATTAGAGCATCCTGGAACTTCTTGTAGTACTTTCATCAAGGTAGTTATATTTATGTACCCCTACCCAAAATAATTTTTTGGCACTTACTGATCATTAAGCTCACATCCTAGTGCACTTAAGAGTCTTGACCTTGTAACCATAACTGACAAAACCTGGATTTAGTTCAGTTTACACCATTCTACATACAACACTCTAGACCATGTTTCAGCTCTATGCTAACATGACCACTGGTAATCTGAACATTGAATATATTCTTGAAACTCCTTAAAAACTACTGATATAAGGAAAAGATGTTGTTTATCTAAAACATGAACAAGAAAATACAATGAATTGTCTCAGTGGGGCTGCTAGTGTCCTTGGAGGCTCAATTTTATGCCAGAACCCTTGCACACCCCACACTGGCTTGCTTCACCCACCCCATCAATTCTTGCAGACTTTGTAAGAAGCTTGCATTTAGTGCTCATGTGGCAGTGCCAGACTCCTGGTAAACCTTACTGTGCTCATTAGGTGAAGCTCACATGATTCTTATGCTTGTCAGCTGAAGCTGAATCAAATTTAAAAGAAGCATAGCCATGAATTCTTCTGATGGTTTTTTTTAATTTCCTCTTAGAGTGATATTAAGTCAAGTTGTAGCCCACAAGTCATTGATCTCACAAGTGAAGGCTCTTTAACAACTATGGCACATCAGCCATTGAGGCATATGCCTCCTTATCCAGCTCATCCTCATCATTCCTCAGCCTTTCACAGAGTTAATAATCTGCCTGGTCATCCACCCTCAGAAAGTCATGGGTGAGTACTCTATTTTACAACAACTCAAGCCCAAGTTAATAAAAATGCTATATTTTTTGTGTTATATGTGCGATATGATGAAAATTATTTTGAGTCAGTCAGGGTCTATCTTATGTTGCTTTACCTGCATCTGTCAACTTATTTAATATTCTGATTTAGAAGTAATTTTGTGTTTTAGGAGTTCATCAAGTCATAGCTGCCCCTTTCTTCATCAGCAACAGCAGCAGCAGCAGCAACACCATCACTCTTCACACAATAGATTTTTCCATCCATCAACAAACAACAATTTCTGCCCTCTCAGTATGGGATCTACAGTTCCTTTACAACATCACCCACCCCATTCTGGACCACCAGTTCTCATTGATGTGGATCAAATACCTGATCATGTCAGAGCAGTACCAGTAACAAGCCTACCAAACTCTTTGCTAGTTGCAGGTGTCCCTGTTGCAGCGCCAACATACATTCAACCTCACCATTCTCCAGTAAGTAACCTTCTTAGAAGTTTACACCAAATTGTTGTAGCCAGCCATGTCACAGACAGGTACCAATAGGAAACTTTAAAAAGGAAAACAACCTAAACTAGAATTAGTTGTATGTAGGATTCATAGTATTAGTAGTATTAGTTTTTCATTTTTTTATTCTGCTGATTTTTCAGATGGATGTTGATGGCAGAGGAAGTAATGGAGTCAGTACACACCATCATCATCATTATCACCACCATCACCACCACCACCATCATCATGTCGTGCAGCCTCCTTACCAAGTTCCACAGCCACAGGCATACCACCCATACCCTACACCTGGAAGTATGGTAAGATATCATTTTAACCCAACATATGGAACTGCGTTCTTTTCATCAGTTCTGTGAAGTTTCCAATCTTCAAGGATATAGTGAGTTTTGTAGTGTATTAAGATAAGTAATCAATAAAATAGGGAGGGCCCTGAGTAGTGTGTTATTTTATATCTTACTCCAGGATTACCACATCTCCATCCCTTCTATAAATAAAGAGACCATATATTCAGTTGTGGAATTTGTGAATCAGGTCTAAGACATCCATTTTTGTTCTTGTCTCTATTAGCACTACAGACACTACCGAAGATGGCACCACAACAACACATCTCATCCAGGTTGGCCTTCCCGGCGTGCTCACCGCACACCTCCACCACCACCCCCTCCTCCTGTGCACTCTGGTGTACATCCATACCCTGATTTACTCTATCATTTAATATCTGTGATGTCCATACAGCAGTTAGCAACACAGCCAACTCCTGCTGCATGGGAAGAAGAACTTCATCCACGTGAAAACTATGAGGTAAGTTTTAATTTAAGAGGAAATTGCCAGCTATTAAGTGCTCCTTCATGGTTGTTAAAATTCCTTTACATTTCTTGCAGACCCTCCTTAACTTTGCAGAGCAAATGGGAGAGGTAAAACCTAAAGGATTGTCACGTGTTGAAATCGATCAGCTTCCCACATACCGTGTAACAGCAGGAGCAAAGGAAGAAGCTGAGGAAAAACGATGTGTGGTTTGCTTGGTAGACTTCGAAGAGAAACAGCTTGTCAGAGTATTGCCTTGTTTGCATGAGTATCACACAAGATGTATTGACAAATGGCTCAAGGTAAGAGCAGTTTTGATTTCCAAGGATTATAAATTAAGGTCTATTTCAAGGTTTTGGGCCAGGGTTTTAAATTTCATGCAAGTAACATTTGTGGTAATTCTTTTCATCAGATGGATTGAAAGATTGCAATTTACTTGAAATTTTGAAATGTAAAAAATTAATTGACTTTGAATTGTACTTATAAAGCAAATCAATTAAAAGCAATATTAACTATGGTATTGAATTGAATCATGGAGCAGGATTTGACCAATCTTTATTTGTAGCAAAACAGTTGAGAAATATTTTTTAGTTTGCTTTAAACAATAAGGGAAAAAAAGGGATAACACCTGTTTAATTTAACTTGAGGAAGTGACTTCCCACCCCTTTTAAAGGAGTCTAAAGCAGACCAAGAGTAATCTGTAGTTAGTTGGAATTGTATGACTGTAAATATTATTAAACAATGAATAAAAAGAATATTAAGTAATGGTTAGACTGTGCATCTTAAAATTTTTTCATCCATTTAGGTTGATAGCTAATAATATGATTAATGAATTTATTTGTATTTATTTTGTAGTCAAACAGAACATGTCCCATTTGCCGAGCAGAGGTTAATGTCAATACAGATTAAAGTGAAGAGTTGAAAAATGGATTTAAGGGTGATGTACCCTTAATGAAGAACAAAAGAGGTAGCAGCTGCAATAAAATTTGGGGTCAAGAAAGATGGCTTAACATTGAAAGGCCTTCAATTGTAAAAAGCTATAAAATCTTAATTGCTATGTAACCGCAATGTGTTCCTTGAATGAAAGGTGCAATAATGCAGACTTTGAAAAAATGCTATATATTTGGAAGTGTTGAGACAAAATTGAGATAACCAGCTTATGCTGACATAGGAACAGTTGTAAACATTGTGGCTATCATGATGTTGAGCCCTTTATACCAATACAAGGAAATAAAACAATTTATTTTTAGCTTATGGAATACTCCAACCCTTTAAATTCTAGGGAGAAAGTCATCTGAGAAAAAGTGAAGCATTTATGCAAAACATTAAATTTGTTGGTGCAGAACGAAAAGGAATTTTATCTGGAAATTTTTCTTGCTTTATGCTACATAGTCAATACTTTCATTTTCGAATTGAAACTACACAGGTCAGTCATATCTCTTACTGCCAAATACATGGCTTTGTGACCCATATTTTGAACATGTCAGTGGAAATGCAGATCGGTAAAAACTATGTGTAAGCTTGATGCTGCTAAGAAGTGATGAAACAGTTTTTGTTTTCAATCTCTTGACCTTAATGATCTAAGAATTTCTCTGTCCTAAGGAGTATATTGAGAAACCTATTTTTCCTTATGAGAATTAGCAATTCTGTTTTTAGGATTTAGGAACTTTTCAGATCAATTGAGTATAGGTGGGTTTTCTCTTTTCTGCTTGCATGTATTCATTTTGGTAAATGAAGTCCATGGTTCACCTGTTGTTCCATTTAAGTAGTTTTGAAGAGAACAGTTCAATTTTTTGGTTTTTAATCATGGTAAGGTATCTCATTACAATTTCGATGGAATAGAAAACTTTGACAAGTTTCGTATTACACAAAAGATATTAAAACCAAGGTCAGATAAATTAATTGGGCTTGATTGTGACCATTGAGCATAATGCTGGAAGAAGTATTGTACTTAATGAACATACATATCTTAACCTCTCTTTTTCTCTGACTTTCATGAAGTTTCCAGGCAACACATTGGAAATGCTGTCTCACTTTTCATTACTTTGGCTAGTAGGCAAAGACACGTCAACAGATGGCTTGTTACTATTCAAGTCCTTGCTATGCGTGGTTGCCTGGGCACTGTGAGAATTAAAATTTGCTTTTAAAGCTTGCACCTTAAGTCTAGTTAAATTTTGACCTCAGCCTAAGTAAATCTCAAAGTTTTGAGTGTAATTTATCTGACCTCTATCATAATTAGCCTCAGTGTAATTGTTTTGTATTTTTAGTGTTCTAAAGAGTTACTTTAAATGGAGCAACACCTATTTACCTTCCCAAAATACGAACATTTTACTATCTCATATTATTTTGTTACCTGTGATAAACAGAGAAGTGTACTTTGCTCATTCTGTTTCAAAACAGAAACCCTCTCATACCAAAGCAATTTGTAAATAAAGAATGGCCATTGAGTAAGACATGCTAGGTATGAAAACTAAAAGTGGGAAAAATAATTTTTATAAAGTAATGTCACATACATATAGATATATTCTGCTGTTTTGTACAAAAAAGTATAAGTTACCATGTGCATGGGGATGAATGTGGCTGTGAAAGTAAACAAAAGTTGAGAGCAATATACTGAGCAAAAGTTGCATTACTGATTTTATTAAAAGGAATTTGAAAAATGGCAGCCATGAAAGATCAATGTACATGAAACAGCAATAACAAATAAAGATAACTTTTATGACAAGTTGTGAGATGAATTATTTTATCTTGTTTGATTCCTTTTGCCAAAAGCTGGCATCAATGATGAAAACAGGCGTAAAACAATGTGATGACAGTACAGTGCAAAGGGACTAACAGTAATAATGGTGTCTCTCTGCAATGAGTAATCCAAATTACAACAATTGTTCAGGTAATTGTGTAGTACATTGCATCTATTGCTGTCATTATTTCTTACTTTTGAAAACCTCCATCTAAGAAAATTAAATATATTTTCACCTTTAATTTCTTGAAGTGATTAACATTTAACTTGCCAATATAATATCCAACATTACCCAGGCAAACAGTAATAAGACTATTCAAACTTATGGGGTTGAAGTTATCTTGATCTAACATCACATTCTTGTAACCAATATACAAGGAAATGTGTAGAAGTTAGAGGATAGAATTAACAATTAGATTTTATGAATAAAAGGATTTAAAATATGTTAGTTGAAATATAGGTTTCTGTATTTCAGAAAAAGGCTCAATGGAAATCAATAAACAAGTAAAGAAGTTTAGAACTATAATTTACCTGGATAAAAAAATAAGCAAAAAATATAATTTCCTCCTAAAGTTTTATTGTTAATTTCATGATCAGTTACCAGAAAAGAAAAAAAATATCTCCAAGTACACTACATGAGTATTCCCCAACCCATTCAATGATTGTATTTAAGTTATTTCAGTTAACATTATGGGTTTACGAGTCAAACACTTTATTTAAGTGCTCCATCAAAATTTCTAGTACATACATGAATATTCTTCTTTCAGCAGAGGAGTAAGAGTGGCCTTGGTTTTTTCACATCAGAAATGCTACCAAAAGGCCAAAAAGGCTGAACTTCTCTAATAAATAAAATCTGAAATTCAACTTATCTAAAAAGGGTCAAATCATAAACCACAGTTTGAACTTTGCAATAGTTTTTTAAAACTTTTGAAACAGTTCATTTGAGAAATTTGTATAAACCTATCAGAACTGAATAAAAGTTTGACCCATGCCTTTTGAAATCTATGCAAATCTCAAAGTTCTTTTAACACTAATTACTTAAAATCTTGAGTCTAAAAAATTTCTTAAATGAAAAATGGAATAGGTATATTCTCAAAATTATAATGGCAAGCCATCATTCATCAAACAGGCATCAAGATCAAAGTCACCAAACACATCATCAATACTACTTGGGGTGGATGTTGACATCATGTCATCATCAGCATCACCATTATAACTATCCACTTCCATCTTACCCTCACAAGGGAATGACTGAATACTGCTGTTGAATTAAAACATTTTCAACCAATAATTAACACTCAATGACAAAAACTAGCAATGTTAAATGTTGATTACTTGAAGAACACTTACTGTAATCACAAAACATTTTGGTCACATGTACATTGGTTCAAAAGAATCAATTCCATTCAGACAGCTCTCCTTTAGTCAACCCTTAAACTCTCAAGAGCTAATTGTTAATTCTCCCTCCTAGCTATGACACTTTTACATGTAAATTAGTAACATGAATTTGTGTTAAATCAAGAACATGTCTTCCTAAAAAGTTTGAGTATTCTCATTACCTGTTTTTTGGATATTACAGGGAGAAGTCGTATGTTGATCCCTTTTGAAAGTTAAGGGGTTGATGAGAGTAATGCTTCAAACCACTCTTTGCCTACTAAATGTGTGTCCCTACCTCTGTGAAGACAAAGAGAACAAATCCTCTTTTCCTTCAGATGGCGGGTCCCAGATGTGAAGTTTTCGACGCCAAAGCTTCACCTGACCAACCCAAGATCGAGTGCTGCATATTTGAAATTTGTCTGGTGTATTGGGGTCTTCTTTTGTACGTTGTTCTCTGAAAGTTTTATGCGATAGGAAGTGCACATAAGAGACTTATCATTTTTGCTAACTGTAAACTTACAAAAATTCAAGTTTAATTACATTGGCCATTTTTCTGGTGATCTCAGCTGTAATAGAATAGTACTTGAATTAATCTTTAAGGGTATTGGTTCAACAAGTGATAATATATAGATTTAGGCAAGCCTAAAAGCGGAGCTTGCATTTTTTTTTCCTGCACGTCTCTTCAACAGAACTAAAGCCCCTACTATGGATAAAGTGCATGGTAATATTAATGGATTTTCATTCACAACTTCTCCATGTCCGTGTAGAGGATTGATCATAAGACAATTCCCATGGTACAGTTGGCCGCACATGCTAAAAGTAGCACCTTGTACGATCAGTTGTACAGTCATATGGTCATACATCCATATTTTTTCGCCTTGATGGGTTACCACTATTTTGTATAATTATGGGGCTACGCAAGCTCCACTATATACTTACAACAGTTAAAAAAACAGCCATTCTCAACATTGTGGAGGATGGTAAGACTACCATTGCATGCTAGTAATTACCTTGGCACTGCAGCTGTGTAACGTCCATAGGACAAGGTGTTCTTTCCAATGTCAATTTGTTTTTGTCTTTGGAGCAGTTTATGTGGATCAGTCAAGACAGGTTTCTGGCTTAGAGATTTTAAATTTTCATCCCTAGACTCTGAGAGCAGCAGTTTTCTTTTAAATCTGCAAGTTTCAATTAATTTTGCTTAGTACAGTTAAGTTCTCCAGAAAGCATTTTATGATGCACTAGATAATGATATTTAAGTGTTGAATACATCTCTGTCTTGGATACCAATAACTGACGCATAATAATACAAGTTCTAAGCCAGAATTTTTACTATATCACACATTTCTAATTCTGGTGGAATATTTCCTTGTCATTGGTAAAGTTTTTCTACACTGTTCGGCTTCTCTGAAGGCCTAAACAATTAAAAAAAAATGAAAAGAAATGACTGTCTCCAGAGGAAAAAAATGTACATTGCCCAAGAAAAGTTGAACAGAAAAATAAGATCCAGAAAACCTTTACTCTATTTGTCATAGATTTCTTCATCAATTTCACACCCTCATTTTGGAGGAATATCTCAATTATTTGAAGTAATGCATTAGTTTTGGGTGATGGGTCTAAAGAAGCCTACAATTTGTGAAGCTTTGCTTCTTAGCCATCAGCCAGCAATTGTTTGTGATCATCTCATGGTTAAATGTGACATTCTGCCAAATGTGATGTTCTTATGAAAGCAAGATTTAATTCTTGAAGAATCTTACTAGTCTCTTAAGAACAGCTAAGTTAATGTCTGCCTGTTCAGTGGTTAGCAACACAATGGACAAGTGCTGTGGCTCACAAATGTTAAAAGATCAGACAGTTATTGCAGTGATGTGGCGATGATAAATGACTGGATAAGTACGGAGGAGCAAACACACACACACACACACACACACACACACAATGGAAGAGAAAGATGAATGAACTTATGAGAAGGCAAAGTCACATTTCCATGTCTCCTGCACTTCGCTGTCATCATTTGGCATTTACCTATCACTCACACTGTACATTGTGCAAATTTTTTTGTGGCATGGCAAAAGAAGAGCTCAGTAACTTGACAGCACGAAGGGTAAGACTCTTTTCCTTTATTCACCTTTTTTAAACAAAAGTTGACCATTGTGGTCATCATTAACAACAAAAAACATTTTCATAGCATATTTTAGAGGCAGCTTATTCCTGCTGTGATTTGTGGGGGAAAGGGTGGGTAAAAAATGTCGTTGCCTGCACATGGAGTGTCTTCTTCATTGTAATTTCCTGAGCAACTGGTCCACAACCTTACTATTACAGCCAACTATTAGTGCCCCACAGTGAGTTAGAGCCTCAACATTTACATATTCAGACCCAGGGTGTTTTTATTAAAACATGGTTGCACTGTGGAAGGTATTATTCCTATATAATTACTCACAATTACTTTACAGGTGAGTTGAATCGATTTTTTTAACTTTTAAAAAAAAAAAAAAAAAAAAAACATACCTTAAATTTGTTCTCTTTTTCACTGGGTCTCTTTTCCCTTCTTCCTCTTCGTCAACTATACTTCCCCAGTCCTTTGTCAACTCAGGAGTATAACTGAAGGATAATTATTTACATAGTACTTTCAGTATTACAAACTCATTCATGTACTTAGAAGGTGAATTCTTTTGGAAGCAATCCAGATCTGCATTGGTGATACAAGTTCATTACCTGGTGAATTTGCTCAGAGTTATGATTCATAAGCTTCTTCAATGTGTTAGAGCAATTCTCAATTGAGTTTCCAGAGTAAACCAGGATAATGTTTTGGTTTTACTTAACCTTGCTCTGTAATTTGTCTAGAAAACTTCTGCCATCCTATTGACCAATCTTATGCAAATCTTAAAATAATTGGAACTAATTCATTTGCATTTTCCAGTGCTCCAACACTTTCAGTTCTCATTGGCTAGTGATAATGTTAACCTTGGTTCTGATTGGTCACTTGGGTTGACTTGGTTTTTTTGATACTTAATTGAAAATAGCTCTATAAAGCAGGTGATCTTGGATCACTTATCTCTTAGTTGTTAACGTTCTATATTTCTGATCAAGAGGTTCAAATTTGAGCCTCGGCCAGGGTCTACATCACTATGCTGTGTGTTTATAAACATTACAGTATTTCTCTCAACCCTGGCATATAAATGAATTTCAGAAAACCATCAGGAAATCTTTACAAAATTTTGGCATAGAATCGCATTCTACCTTCAAAGAGAAGCAAAACTGCCCTTTGTTATCTCACGGAGGGCCAGTATGAAGACTTAAACACCATTGATTGGTACAAAAACAGATAACATGAATATTTACCTCGAAACTCCAAGAGGAGGGAATTCTTTGGAGAGGTCCTGAATTTTAAGATGAGATCTGTTGGGGGGTGTCTGTTTGCTGCTTGCAGTTTTAGCCCATTTATTTCTTTCGTTTTGAGGGGTGTTTACATCCGAGATGTTTTCATCAGAGTTGTTCTTGACCGAAGGAAACAGTGATATGCACTGACTCTCTGGTATTTCCCTCCTTCTCCTTTTGAAATAAAAGGATTTCTATAAACGCGTGCATATCTTATTCATAACACCCTTCTACTAAATTTGAGAACGCCATCGATCCTCCGTTTACACAGGTGTGTTTAAAGCGAATATTTATGTATGCCTTGCATTGCGGTTTAAGTATAATCAGCAACATCGTGAGAGCGAGAAATGAAAATGATGAAAGTTTAAATAGAACAAGTCAGGTTGATTTTGGTCTTTAATCTGGTTCGCAGATCGCGAAGCAAAACATCATCTCACACAGGTCGCTATATCCTATTCTATTATGGCGGGAAATCCTTAGAACAGTTAGACTCATAATACTTACGATCTTGAAATTATCTGAGTCGTATCGCTCAATAGAACCTTATAATTACGTTCTTATTTTAAACCTGTTGATCAACGAATCAAGCAAACTGGAATAAAGCAAGGAAAGATTAAAAAGAATACCTGTGATTGTCACGCTTCTGTGTCTTTCGGAAGTTCCCTGACCTGTACATTTCACGAGAATCTCTCGAACTTCGTTCACTTTCTCTGCTGTCAGGACGCGATTTCTTGTTTTGCTGGAATGTAGGAGACTTTGCGTCCATATTGTTTAAGGGACTAATTATTTCTTGAACATCGATTCACTGAAAAAGTGGTTGTAAGTCAGTCGAGAGTTTAGGCGCTTTGTGAAATGAATTTCGCGCCAAGCGACGAAAAGAAGCTTGCTTTCCAAATAAGGTGACCGAAGCCAAATTAGGTTAGTGAGCGAGACCGATGACCGAAAATAGCGCAGATGTCTTTAACACCATCCCATAATTTAGCTTTGTAGCGTGGATTTCAGTTCGCAAAATGTCGAGTCGTTACTCAAGACCGCCAAACAGTTCACTTTACGTGAGAAATTTACACCATGATACGAGGTAAGACTCATAAGAGACACAGTATAACCTCTATTCTTTTTGAAATCCACGTAACGCTATGGATTTCTTTTCACAGACCCGAAGACCTTCGACGTATGTTCGGGAAGTATGGACGCATCACCGACGTGTACATTCCCCTAGATTACTACACGAGGGAGTCTCGAGGCTTTGCCTACGTACAATATCCTTTTCTGTATGTTGTGACTTGTTATTCGTCAAGTTTCTTTCTATCTCTGAGTTTCTTTTCTTTGGTATTATTCGTAATAACTGAATTATCTCATTGTACTTTTGGTAGTCAGGACTAGAGAGAGAGCGAAAGCGAAAGTCCTCAAGAAAAAGTCTGCTAAATCGGTAAAGATTTTAAAGCCCAAGCTAATCCAAAGTGGGAACGAAAGTTAAAAGTTCAAGTAACAGGAATGAAAGCTTGTAAAGACAAAGCAAAGAGATATGATTATTCAAAAGATGAAGTTAAAAAGAGTAAATTGTCAAGGTACGGCTAGCCCAGGCGCGAAAAAGGCAAAGAAAGGTTTCAAGGGCTTGTCGAGTTAAGAGCAGTGGTGTTAAAAGTGGAGTCAATTCTGCAAAGAGTGAAATTTTTAGATGTAAGTATTAGAACCAAGCATTAACTTGCCATCACCATTGCTGTTTTTATCGTATCCAGAAACTCCTGTCCATTCTAAAACTTAAAATTTTTTTCAGGAATTAAGTAGTAGTGCTACCAAGTATAAAAGATCATCAGCAACAACAAAGAAAAGGTGTAGGCATGTAAAAGAATCTTAAAGTCAAGTCAAAAGAAAGAATGTGGTTGGCCTGCTGATCAAAGTGTGTTGCAAGGTGCAGGGCAATTGAAAGGCAAACAGAGTCATCATGATGGTTTCCTTTTCAACCACAGATAAAAGGCGCCTAGAAAGTTCAAATTTGTCGGACTTGCAAGCTTGGTACACAGACAAGTCTTTAAGTAATGTATCAGAGAGTTTGGTGATCAAAATCTTTAAAGTTTAACAAGGTGCAAAGAAAGGCAACAAAATGACATTCCAAGCAATTATTTTTCATCAAGACTGGCATTTCGGTTATCAAGTACCAAGTTTTCGAAAGAATAACAACAAATACTGTAAGTAATTCATGGTGATATGAAACTTCAGTGTCTGTTTTAGATAGGGTATATCCCGTAGAATAAGGTATTTATTACAAGGAGCTTGGAAAAGGAGGGGTAGCAAACGCTTCACTTGATATCAAACAATTAGCTATGTTATTCTGCTGGAACAAGAGATATGCCAAGGAAAAGTGACCTTTGTTCAAATAGAAAGCAAAAATAGGTGCAACATGGTGACACAACTACCCCTTGGAGGGCCTTTATCTAGCTAGCATTGCTTGTAAAAGATTTTGTGGCTTTTTCCTGTAACGTTCCTCTGATATTAACTTTTGAAGAGTTTCATTTTCTCAAGATATGATTGTATTTAGCCTTCAGGAATGTAAAGGTCGGAATTTTCTTTCAAACTACCTGCTTAATAGCAAAATGCCCTTAACAGCATAAGTCAACCTGTTATGACACCTTAATAGAGTATTGTAAAACCAAATCAAAATAATGAATCATAACTAATAATTAATCACAGTAAAGGAAATTATCACAAAAGCCAACGAGAATGCAAAGAAGAAACCAGCAAACTATTCAAAGTTGGAAAAACATTGGTGAACTAGTTGCAATTGGTTTTAATTTTGAATCTCAATGGTGGAGAGGGTGGCATAAGTTTTCTGGACCAATCACATGATGAAGTGAACCAAACCAAATCAATCTAGATTAACTTTTGAAAATCAGTGAAAAATTGCTCTTAATGAATATTTTGGTGGGAAAATCAGAATAGAGTTTAGCCTTGTTAGAAATGTGGAAGAAATGTATCACAAGTAACTTTGCTTACAATTATATGTAAAGCATTACTTAAGGTCATTTGAGTTTGGCATGTTTTATGCTATTGTCAAATCTGCTCCAGAAATACAAAGGAAGGTAATTAAAGAGTGTGACGTATCAGCATAAAGTATCATTGTGTTCAAGTGTACTTCAGTGGTGACAGCACCTTCAAGCTTCTGGTCCAGGTCAAGCTTGGAAAAGGGGAAATCAAGCCTTAACTAATGATACATTTGAAGATATCCGTGATGCAGAAGATGCCCATTACTACTTGGACAGGGTTGTTTTGCTTGGAAGAGAACTGGAAGTTCAGTTTGCAGAAGGAGACAGAAAGAGTAAGGCACTTTATGAGACATAAACCCATTCAACATCAAAATAAGTCAAAGCTTTGATACTTTTGGAATTAACACCTCACCTGAAGCCAGCCTTCTTTCAAAAGCATCTCACTTGTCAGTCAGAATTGAAAATAAGCTCCTATCCATAGTGGCACCTCTCCTCCCCAATGTTTTCATGGACAAGCACTGAGTCCTGTAAAGTTTTTTAACAGATAGAGAATGTCTTACAATCTCTTTTCTTTAAAGATGCATTTTATAATTTTATCCTTGTAATTGGGCATTTATACCTTAACTGGTATGGATTTTGTGACTTGAGTCTGAGTCTTCTGTTTTATTGCGTTTTCACCTGCTCTCAATATGATCTAACTGCAAATTATTTCTTTTGTTTAGCCCCACAACAGATGCGCGGCAAAGAAAAAAGGGAAACCTATGGTGGTGGTGGTGGTTACAGCAGCAGGAGAGATTATCAGGATGATTCTTATAGGTGAAACATTGCTTTTAATTTCTACTAACAAAGTTAGAGTACCTTATGATTGGGTGTCTTAAAACCCAAACCAATATGAAAAATACAGGCCATCACATTAGAGGTCAATAGTGCAAGGAAGTACTAAGATTCAAAGGATGTACATGAGAAGTAGCTCATACTTGTGAATGTGTTCATAATTCAAGCGAGATTAGATTGCCATCTGATTTGTGTGGAGGATTTTGAAAGGTTTCTTTTCAAGTGACCTACTCCAGTGAGTAATGTAATGGAACCATGGCAATTCCATTTTACTGTCAACACCAAATTTGATTTGCTGTTTAGTTTGTTTTAGTTTGACCCTACTGAGTTTGATTGTAGTTGGTGTTTTGGCCCACTAAACTCTGATTTAATTACATGTAATGGAATTCTCCTTTTTAGATCATTAGTAGATTTTGAATTTTTTTTTTTCAGTCGTCGCTCCCGCAGTCGCAGTCCAAGGTGAGTTTTTGTTATTTCAAAGCTAAGAAACATATGTCTGTGTAGCCACTAAGTCCCCTAAAGTACCGTCTTTAGTCCCTTAGTTTTTTGTATGTGTTAGCATGTGACTGCAGTTGCTCCTCATCGCACCTAACCCAGCTGGCGTACATATCGACTCCTGTTTTGTGCACGTTCAAGCGTTTCAATTCTTCTCTCGCTGGGAAAACCTAGCGAGTGGATGCATCCTCAGAAGGATTAAAATATTTTGTTCTAGAAGTTGTGCTGTTACAATGGGAGTAAAAATAAGACGGAAGACCGACAACTTTCCACGTCCTTGGAGTTTTCAGATGTAGTTCTAAGCAGACGATTCGTTTCAAAATTTCCAGTATTAGTACAGTTCATGATCACATTCATGATTGTTTCTTTTCTTCAGACGTCGTCGCCGTCGATCTCACTCCCGTTCTAAATCGCGTTCTCCCAAACGCCGTGAACGCAGCAGCCGTAGCGAAAGAAGCCGAGACAGTCACCGTGACAGCAAAAGAGAGAAAGAACGAGAGCGATCACGATCTCGCTCGAGATCACGCTCGCCATCTCCCGCACGATCAGCAGCTTCACGGTCACGCTCAGGCTCTCCAGCAGCAGAGTTCAGCGATAAAGAAGAAGAACAGGGTGGACAAAGCCGCTCACCAAGTCCAAACTAAGTTGTTCTCACTATGTGCTCGATTTAAAAGACTTGAGATAGAAAAGGAATTATATTCCAAGAATTGTTGCAACACTTCCAAGTTCAATAATGCGTTTTTTTAGATTTAGTTTGGCCTCTAGCTCTGTTCACCTCTCTTAGCACAAGCCCTAGGCAGTGTTCCTGCACAGAAAGTAGGAGGAAGTTGAAGAACTCTTAAATTGATATTTGTGTTTAGTTTTGATCATGCAAAAAGTAGTGTTGTTCCAAATCGCAGCTATTCTCAGGCTCGAAGATTTTTTTCTGTGGCGAAGTATTTTCAATAAACGACGGCATGTAATGATTTTTCCATTTTAGGGCGCTATGTACACATCAAAAATGCACGTGCAACCGAAATATAGCTTTATATCTTAACACTGTAAACTTTTATCGTAGCGTTGAGAATTAAATCTTGCGTTGTTTTACGTTTTGTTTAATACTGAATCTGGCTGCCCACCATGCTCATGAGTTACACACAATTCGTATGAACATCTAAACAACTTGATTGCATGACACTCAACTTGTATGTGGTCAGTTTCCTTCGTGTTGACTTTCGTAAATTTTACAAATTTGGTTCACGGGAAAACTAACAGACAATTATATCGCAATGAAAGCCAAATCCTCAAGGATTGAGAATTTTCATTGAAATGTTTCTAGCCTTCGACCATCCTTGATTCCTCTAATTCCACCGAGTGACCAATCTTAGGTACACTGGGTGGCAGAGTCGCTCGGATTCAGGGCGACTGGTAAAAGCCTTAGAATAGAGGATTAAACCTTAGAAGAAGGTGCAAAAATTTATATTTTTACCATCTTTCCCTGTACGGTGATGATCGCGAAGGTCTCCGGGACGTACTTGTGGCCATGTAACAGTGTTCAATCACCACTGGGTTTCGATGGGTACGGCTGCACGTGAGTGACTGACCAACTGTCGGTTATTAGATTAGTGTATATTTCCGTTTTACTCCAATCCACCCCAGGTCCCCGAGTTTGGATAAATTCTAATCGACCTCTTTCCCAGGCAGGTCCAAGCCTTTGAGGACGCTCAGGAGTTAATACCACCAGACACGAGGTGCTAGTATCAATCAATTTACGTCCATATTCCTTCATTATTTTTTACTCTAAAAAAAAATTCTTCGAAATATTGCGTCTACGCAGTAATTCTCTATCTTTAAAAACATCCATAGATAACGGAAACCAGGAACCCATTACTTGATGGGTTCCTGCGGAAACCCAAGGTATGTACATATACACACACTTCCTCGGTAATTGGAATAGGCTGTAGTCAGGAGCCCATTACAGTAGTGGGCTCCTGCTATAGTATAATAAATGTCAAGAGCATACTTTCACTATCCCTCTCTATTCCACCATCTATCTTTCAATACACGTTTACAGGATTAGAATTTTATTTTTAAATGACAGTCTTGGCGATTTTTTGCTGCTCGCCAGAAGCGTGTTACTGCGCGTGTTGCGTGAGATATGTGCTCTCTCAGTCAAAAAAACTGGGAACAATAATATTTACTCGTTTTGCGCGGGAAATTGGTGTGAGGCTGGCCAAAATTAACGCCCTTGCGCATGCCGTACAATTGACCGCTGTGTTGTGCCATCATGACGGCCTATGTTTTGAGTGTTCAACTGTGATGGAATGAACTGCGACATGAACTGCCTATTTTGAGACCAAAAGATGAGCAAAAACGGTACCACAATCCTCACTTGCCTAACGATATACGACGGCTCTTTTCAGATGGTGTTTGGATGGAAAAAAATGACGTCTCAGCGGTTTTAATACTCTAAAATGGAAACCACGTGTGACATTTAGATCAACTGCTGAGGTTAGTGAAAAACATAAACAAAAAGACTGTTTGATTTCAATTTATTTCTGCTCCCTGTTTCCTTTTTAGTTATTGAATAAGCTTGTAATGTAATCGGATCATTTTGACATTCCACTCCACCAGCATAGGTACAAATAGTTCTCAGTATTTTGCGGGAAATTTAAAAAGTGCTGACAAAGGAAATTAAATTTTCTGACAGTTTTAAAATTGCATATTCTTATATACGATGTGAAAAATTTTTTGTGTGAACGTAATCTAGTTCATGTTTATCTTATCCTTTGTTGACCTAAGTATTGCACAAAAAAGTAACGTTTTGTGAAATAATGTGGAATTAACGGGCCCAAAATGGCGACCTTATTTATTTAATTGCATGCTAGATAATTATTATGAACTGTGTTGGTATTTCAACATTAATCCTTCAGTTGGTATTCAATTTCAAGACTTTGGAGCCCTCTTTTTTCCAACTATGTATTCCTCTGTATGTTTGCTCTATGTCTTTAAGGTCTACTAAGATGTATTTTGATCAAATATAGAAGCAATCCTCGTAGTTATGAACACTACTTAAGTAGTAGTGTAAATAAGGCCTGAAAAATATTCAGGTTCATACAGGATTTGAACCCATGACCTCTGTGATACCGATGCAGTTCTCTACCAAATGAGCCAACGGGCCTTATTTTCACCACTTCCTAAGTAGTGTTCATAACTGCAAGGATTGCTTCCATATTCATTTCTTCAATTGAAGTTCACATAAATAATTTTCATGTACCGGTATTTACAGTCATTTATATATTTTGATCATTGATGGAGTGAGAAGAAGGGAAACCACTTAGATCATTTTAGCATAGGGCCTATGACAACAGACCTCATTTTGATAAATATATTGATTACTCAATGTGCTCAGGCAAAAATTTACACCTTTGTCCCATCCCTCCCCCCCCCCAAGTATATGTAAAAAGAAAGTAGCATGAATTTGGGGAAAAAAGCAAACTTATTAGGGGAAGCAGAGAATAACATGTTTAATCAAAGTGTTAAAGCATAAATTGATTGTCTTAAAGATTAGAATGGAACAAGTGAGTGACAATGTGAATTGAATGCTAACATCTTGAATTTGCAAACAAGATTTTGAGTGCCATGCTTAACGAGTTTGCTTGAAATGTTCAAAACATATCTGATTTGTCTCTTGGCTAAGATGAAATGCTACGTCATACTAGTTACAAAGTATTATTTTAACAATTTTCTGAAAATGTGGTCTTGTATTTTCAATTTGTTTATGTTCTTTACCCAAATGTTTTCTGTGCTCAGACCAAAAGATGGCTTTTAATTATTAAAACATTATAAAGTTTTTTGTGACAAATAACATGGCAATGCACTCACCAGGTGCCAAACAGTATTAGTAGTAAAGCCTAGATGGATTCCAAGTCAGTTTAATCTGGAAGTAATGTGAGGTCTCTATATTCTTCACTGAAATGTTGATTAAGAAATGTTAGTGGCTGCTGAGTGCTCAAATGTTCCAACAAAAAAGGAAACTATGAGTATGGATTATTTAATCAGTAGACTGGACTTTATATCCATTTGCTAGCGTAGCAATTCATGCAGGATGTTGAGAAAACACAAGATAAGTTTGTAAATCACAGTATTCTCTTGTGCAGTAAAATATTAGATCATGTTGACACTTATGCTCTTACACATGGAAGATTTTGTGTTATTTCATGCCAAAAGATGGATTAATAATAAGCTGGGTGTAACTGGAAGACATACCTTACTGCCTGAAGGGAAGCTTAAGAGCATTGCATTTAGAACCTTACTCACTTTGAAAGGTTGAGCATCCAACTTGAGCTATTTGGTACTTACAATGTACAATATTAAAGAAATGTAAAATGGTTTCTGTGTTTACATAGCCTGATGTAAACACACAGGAGGTTGGGAGAACACGAGATAAGCGTAGGAAACCACAACGCGAAGCGAAGCGGTTTCCAGCTTATCGAGTGTTCTCCCAACCTCCCAAGTGTTTACATCAGGCTATGTAAACACAGAAACCATTTTACATTTCTTTTATAAAATAACTAATGAAAGAGGAACAAAAACCATGTTTACATATGCTCGTGTAAAATGGTTTTATGGCCAATCAGAGCGAGCGTACTATTTGAATTATTTTATAATTCACAATGTATCTTCTGCAAAAATTACATTTTCTCCCCAGTCTCTTCCCACAGGATCATTTTAAAACTGATTGAGAGGTCTACAGAATTTTGGATTTGAATTTTGAATTTTGAATTTTGAATTCCTTACTCTCATTAGATATTAACAAGACAGTCATTGAACTTGAGTTTGTTTGCCAAACTAGTGATGTTATTTTTTCAAACATGTACATGTGCTTTTTTTTTTTCTTACGTGCTCTCTAATTGACAGGTGTCAGATCATGACTGATACTTGTTAAAAAATTGTTTCAAAGTTTGTTTGGAAGCCTTTTAGATCAACTTTTTCATTACACAAATAAAAATGTTATGGTGAAGCCTCTCTCTTTAATTTGCATTAGTTAATTCTGTTTCAACTACCTTTCACTTGTTCAAAAATTGTTCAGTTTATGGAGGATCTTGCCTGATTTACAGCCATAAATAAAGGATTTCATTAAGTTTTAGGAAAATATAAAAGTGTTATTTGCCAGCCTAGGTTGGTCTGTATTGAGAAAAACTGTGCCCTCAGCCTATGGCATCAGGCAGTACTCAAGACCTTGGGCAGAGTTTTTACCAACATGGACCTCTCTGCTGTTATTCAATGTTAATTATTTCAGGATATTTATGCATTAAGCTCTGAGCTTAACTCGGCTGTTAACAGTTTGCTGCTGGACAGTCCTAGACAGTCATAACTCCTTAAGGTTAGAGCAGAAATGTTGGTTGATCTTGACTTATAGTTTTTGGTGCGTAAGGGTGAATACAAGTGGGTTAACTTAGTCAACCAATGAAGTGACAGAATTGGTGTCTTCTTTGAGCTCATGAAAATTGTATTGTTTCATTCTCCTGCAATGTAACATGATATTATAAATGACTGACAGACTGACTGACTGATCAATGAACAGAAAAAAAAACTACCTGAATGATTAACTGATTGACAAATAGACTTACTGACTGGTTTACAAGCTTGTTGATCGATCCAT